AATTTGTATTTGAAAGACAATTTTCCATAAAAGGAGAGCCAAAAAAAAAAACAACAATAATTTATATAAACTCAAGTGCTGTGCTGTGGTGGTGTGCTGGGAATTTTAAGCAACACGTGCCATGAGCTGCTTTTTCCGCTTGTTTGTAAGCTGCATTTCATTTTGTAATATCCATTGCAATAGCGTGTGCAACCCATTCCAGTCCGATGACCAATTAATGTACTTTTTCACCCAAACAGCTGACTTCCCAATCTTATCTAGAAGCAGTTCGTACTCGTATTGAGAATAATGAAAAGTTTGGCCTTAGAATAATAAATAAAGAAGCAGGCTAGTTACACAATACTATCTTTGGTTTGCCTGCCTGCCAAGGCCCGAATAGGGGAGGCATATTTGCCACATTTGATTTTGGTTATAAATTAAGTAAAACCAACAAGTCGCGGATACGTGTGCTGCGGGCTGTGTTTGTGTTTAGTTAAGTTTGTTATTTATGCAACAGGAATGGCTGCGAAAATAACTGAAATTAATTGGGGCCCAGACCCAGGCCCAGTGGGCTGTGAGCAAAAGTGGGAGAACAAAAATAAGCGAGTGATTCAATTCGAGTTGAACATGCAACCGACATGGGGTCTGCGCTAGGCTATAATACAAATGTGTGTATTTATTTTGAAAATTGCCACAAAACGATAAAAGCTTTCCCTCAACTCTATTTGTATTCATTTGCTGGCCGGCATACGGGGCGTATGAGGAATGCAGTGGGGGGTGGAGATTAAAGCGCCAGAGATTGATTCATCGTTTATTCAATTTCTGTCGATTCTCATTAGAGGCTGGGTGGCTCGCAAGCTATTGAATCAAGTGCATAGATGATATTCCCTAGATTGCAATCCATTTTGGTGGGAAAAACTTTTTCAATTAGCCGCCTGCATGGGACACGGGCAGGGTGGAAGGATAATGCAATAATCGCTGCCAGAGAATGAAACTTTTTGCTCGCACTTGACCCCACGACCATCATTGACTTAACCCTTTCCCCTTTCGCTTCACTCTTGCAGGCCAGCCCCGGCAAAATGGATGGCATATCGGAAATTGAACAAATTGTCAGGGAGAGGACGGTAAGTGCCCTAAGGACCTGCAGCCAGATGGAACTCAACGCTTAACCGTATTCTTCGATTATTATTTTTGCAATTCAGGAACAGCACGAGTCCAACAGTCGAGTGGATGGCAGCGGTGGAGCGGAGAACACCAATGGCCATGGACGCTCCCACGACAACAATGAAGAGGTGAGAATCGGATTAGGTAGCTCACCTGTAATAGTTTTAACAATCACATGTCTATTCCACAGGGTCACAGTGGTGTGCCAGACAAGACTAGTGCCCTGAAGAAGCGTCAGTGCGTCTTGGTGGAACTGGTCTCCACGGAGGAGTCCTATGTCCAGGATCTAAATGACATTGTCAATGGGTAGGTTCCCTAAGCTAACTTAACTTACAAGAAGATAAAATATAAAGCTTTAAATTCAAAATATTCCAGCTACATGACAGAGATCAACAACCCGAACAGTGATATCCCCATGCCCGAGGGACTCAAGGGCGGCAAAATGAAATTGGTCTTCAACAACATCAAAGACATTTACGAGTGGCACAGGGAGTAAGTCAAGAATAGCACAGTTTATCTGAAATCTTACTTAATCTGTCTCATTTCCCTTCTTTAGCTACTTTCTGAGGGCCCTGCGAAACTGCCAAAAATCACCTGCAGACCTGGGACCGCTCATCAAGCGCTCGGCCCCGAAGTTCTCTTTGTATTACACATATTGCAGCAACAAACCCCTCTCCGAGTACATAGTCAGCGCCAACAATGATTACTTCGATTGCATACGCCAGAAACTGGGACATCGCATGTGTGTAAGTACCTGGATTCATACTTCATGTACTTCAATTACTCACTTAATTACTCTTTTAGTTGAGCGATCTGATCATTAAGCCGGTACAGCGCATTACCAAATACGAACTACTTATCAAGGAGATCATCAAGGCCACCGAGGGAGCGGGTCTGTACAAGGAGGTGCCCATGCTCCAGGAGGCCTACCAGCAAATGAAGGTGGTGGTGAAGGCCGTCAATGATATGATGGTGGTGCTGCGCAGCCTGCAGGACTTTGAGGGTGAAATCACCGCCCAGGGCAACCTGCTGATGCAGGGACCCATGAACTGCGTGGTGGATGCGGGACAGAAGCAGCGCGAGCTGCAGATGTTCCTCTTCCAACAGATTATTATCTTTGCGGATATTGAAAAGGCAAAGAATCAGTACTCCAGTCCCACATTCAAGTATCGCTCGCATATACAGGTATGGAAATACCTTAAAAGTTAACAAAGATTAATTATATTAATGGTATTTTTTATTGGTTAGCTCAATCACATGCAAATGAAGGAACTGGGCGACTGCCGCTTCCAAATTAAATCAACTGACCCTAACAAGATTCCCGAGGTCACCATGATTTGCCAGGCGGCGACGCAGGAGAGCTATGCCGGATGGCGGGACATGCTGAACAAGATCCTGCAGCAGCAGAACGACCTGATCTTCATGCTCTCCAATCCGCTGTCAACCAAAAACAAGTAATAGTGTGTCGGGCTAAAGCCAACAAAACGGAAGTAGGAGGAAATGATATTGTAATGTGTTTTTGGGCAAAAGGTATTATTGCCACCCGAAGTGAGCATTTGCCTCGCACTTGTTTTTCGTCTGTGCGTCTGTTTACTGTTAGTTTTGCTCACCCACACCCAACGACACACACTAGCCCTCATCACACACACCCAATCACACACACCACATACTCAATCCTAAGTTGTATGTAACTTGTAATTTATTTATTTTTTCCTCATCTGCGTTCAGAGAATACCTTTTAGTGTCTAGTTTGAGCCAACTTTCTGTTCTATATTTCTATATTTATTCGTTGTTCCGTTTCGTTACCATTTCCGGATTTGTGTATATGAAACGCAAAGTATTATATGCTCAAGAATACCTTCTATATATTGTGTGCATTTTTACCATAATTTAGACTCTTTTTTTTTTGCTCTTTCGTACTGGGAATTATTTATAAACCAAGCAGTCGAGCAACACACTACTCAGAATCAAAAGCAATTTATAATTTCGTTTCGTATTTGTATTTCGCATTAAACGCAGATAGCGAAGCTGAGTAAGAGTATAACTATTTTACGCGTATACTGTACTTTTAGTTTTTAGTTCGGAACCTAGCTATAATTTAACTGCTTAATGTTAATCATAATTTAAACGTAACCTTATTTGCTTTAGAGAACTGAAGCAGAGATTCGTGTGTAAGCAAACTTCGTGAAATAATTTAAGCGTAACTTTAGTTTATGAATGCAATGCAAATCGTATTTGTACTTTATGTTTTACAAATAAAATATGTAAGCTTTAAACGTAATCAAAACAAGAAACAGTCCACTACCAGTCTGAGTTTTTTAATTTAATTTTAATTTTTAGTTTTCATTTCCAGTTTCTGTTCTAAACAAAAAAAAACACAAGACGTTAGCGAGTAAGCAGACATCAAAAAAATGCAACTCTTATACCTTAACAATACCACTTAAGTGAATCCAAAATGTATATCCAAATGCCATTTTTCGAAGCGTATATTTCTCTTTGGTGTCTGTGCGTTATTGTTAGTTTGTAATAAGGAGACAGTAAGGATAATGTACAGTGTAGCATACGATGATACGAGCCAGGGTCGGTCAGACGATATACCATATGCATGAGTATCTCTCTCTCTCTCTATATATCCCTCGAGCAAAGTAACCGCCAAAGGACCAGGATTTGATAAAAACAATTAAATGTATAAAGCACCAGACGAAGTTACTAAGCGGTTGTTCACACGATACTTTCCAATCAAGTTTGTCTCTGAAAGCACACCCCCCAATCACACACTGTATTACACACCGGTAACAGTCTGGAACATGAATGCAATTTGAATATATCAAAGCGAAGAATAACAATAATGATTTAGCATAGCTAAATGTAGGAAGCGAAGCGTAAAATTTATTTTTTTATAACAAAAATTGTGAAACGAACCGCCGGCATAATTCGTAATTAAATGTTAAAGTCGCGACGACAGATCGGATCGGATAGGATCGAAGTGGGGGATCCCCCCAGACAAGCAAACGCACAGTGAGAAGCTATTCCACATGGCCACAACATTTTCTACATTTTTTGCACTATATACTCTCGTGCGTGGGAGGAGGAGGAGGAGATGGAACTCCCACTAAACCCAAGTCACAACCAACCGATCGATCGTAACATGTAACATACTGAATTCTTTTTTGATTATACATATTTATGGCACTTACCAATTAACTAATTGTTGTACTTAAAAAAAAACGTTACGATTCAAATCCCAGAGGACGCGATTTAAGGCGCCAACCTCGAAGTTCTAGATAATTGTGGTGGTATTTGAAATGTGTGTTTTAGTTTATCTAATTAATCTAACTAAACATTAATATATATATTTACATACTTACAATATACGACATAATGTACGCCACTCCCGTGCAATGCGAACAGCATGAAGTAAACGTGTTAATCTGTGTTTTAGCCAAGTAAGCAGCTGCTGGCCTACAGGCCGTTTTGAGATCAACATGGCTCCGGCATGGCGGCAAAATATGAATATAACCAGAAATCAATATGCAAATTGTATGTACCCAAAACAAAGCATGTAATCTGAATTTAAAAATTTTCAAAGTGAATAATAATAAAGCAAAAGTAGCTGAATAAACTTAAAATACTCAAATTGAAAATGCTTTCTTTCTTCTTCTTAGAAAAGGAGCTTGTCTCTTGGCCAAATATTTAAATAATTTCGTTTCCCAGCACTGACTTAACTGACCTGAACAGTGTTGCCACATCATTTCGTACGTAGAATACATTGTTCTTCTTTTCGACGGTAGATGGCGCTACTGAATTGGAAAATGGAAATTCAAAACACATTTTTCAAGTTAATAAAAAGCTTTTTCTGTTTTATTTGGATTCAATTAATACTATTTGTAAAAATGCTACGAGTTTTGAGCAAGCAATCCTGCCAAGCAATATGCCAATTGTTCTACCTTCTACTAAAAAATTCCCATTGCTTTCAGACACCCCGTTGTCCTTGCCCCTCGTCGGGTGTTTCGGATCCTGCCGCCGCTGCCGCAGCCTGGTGCAGTTGTTTCAGTTCATTGTAGATCCTCAGAGCAAGCTGGGCATTGGGAGCCAACTCTCGTCCTGGCACCTGGTGCTCCTTCGGCGGCTGAATGCACATCTTCACCAGCTTTTGCAGTGGCTTGGACAGACGCACTCCGCTCAGGAGTCCCGGCTGGAAGGTTCCTCCGCCCAGGAGGACGTGCTCGCAGAATATCTGGAAGTTGTTGTTCTGCTGAATGTGCGTGCAGGCCTTATGCTCCTCGTCGCACATTCCGATGCAGGAGTGGAAGTGGCAGTCCTTGTTGGTGTGGCACTTGACGCCCCTCGACAGCCGCTTATCCAACTGGCTCTCCACATAAATGTGCTCGGCACTCTGGTACTTCAATCTCCTTTCCGGCGTGGTGCCAAAGCGATTCACTTGCATTTTGCACATCTTGAGGGGTTCCGGCTTCATTTCATCCAGTCGGAAAATGTACTCCATTATATTGAGGGCGTGCTTGAGGCGTTGCAACCGATTTGAGGCACTAAAGGATAATAAAATTACAGAAAAATATAGATAAACCCTTGAAGGTTTAAGTACTTACAGATACTGCATTATGCTAGGATTGGATTGCACTATTTCCAAGCCCTCAGTGGCATAGTAGGGTCCACAGGACCCCAGTACAGCTGGAAAAATGGACTCCTCATCAAATAGCTTGCCCATCATGTAGTTATTATCCTTGAAAAGCCTCCAGAAGCTAACCATCTGCTGGGAGTTATCATCAGATATTTCTTGGTTGACCAGAGCACGGATCTATAGTTCAGGAAATTAATAAAACGATGCTTAGATATCCTTAAAAGCTTACCATATTGTCATCCAAGGTGACATTATAGGCCAGTATGATATGCAATTTAACAATCTCATGGAACTCTTCTATTTTGGGATATATGGCTTCTCCCTTGCTGTTTGTCCAACTCAGTTCATCATCATTATGCCGGGCCAACTGAAAAGCGACAAAGGATATTCGCAACCATGACAACCAAAAGCCGGAAAATGGAGGAAACCCGGACCTACCTTCACCGCATACATATCACCATTTTTTTCTGCCGTAAAAAGAATAGTTTTCATATCGTTCAAAGGACACTGGAAGTTGTCAAAGGAAGACTGAGGGCCGCAGAGTTCCTCGCACAGAGAGCCGCTGTATTCATGTTTTTCGAATTTCTGGCACTGGGAATGGGGGGAGTTAAAAACTGGGTGAGTGTGTTAATTGCAGAAATCACGGTGTTACCATCAGGTTAAGGCTCCGGTGGGACATCAACTTGAAGCAGAACTTGAGATTGAGGAAGGCATAGCTGAAGACCCCTACAGCCAGGAGGACTGCAATCAAAACCGTGCGCTGCATTCCAAGCCGAATTTTTCGACGCAGGGCAGTTAACATTGTTTAAACGCTTAAAACGCTAACCATTTTAGCCAGTTGCTCGTTTACACACCCCAGTATATACACTCGAAGCTCAGAGAAGTGTCAGTTGCAACATGACACTTCTCCAGGACATGCGCAAAGATGTCCTTTCATTTTGTTATCGATTAATATCGCAGAAGTTCCCATGCCACCTCCCAGAAATAACAAGAGTTTGTATTTTGAAATTATTACTTAACGTATAATTCTTTATTTATACTCTTTGCTAAATTGAGCAATTTACTTTACTTAATTCATCAATTTTTTATTTGTATTTTTAATAAGTTGTCTTTTAATTTCATCCAAGTGTTTAGAGTTTCGGTTCTTGCTTTTGGTTTCGGTTTCGGTTTCTTTGTTCTGCTTTACTAAAAATTATTTAAATTCAGAATCATATACCTAAGTTCAAGTTTATTGTTGTATATTATTAATAATAATAATTATTATTTCGCATTATTTTTCTGCGATCATTGCCATTATCTTTTTTCCTTTGGTTTTCATTCCAATTCAATTATTGGGATGATCAGAATTTATATCTGTGTGTGTCGAGTCTGTTTCTGTGAGTTTTTCTGTGTGCCTGTCTAATATTCACCTTTTCGTGTATTTATATACTTAAGATAACCGTTTTGTATGCACAATTTTAACTAGTTATGTACACAACTATATGTGGCTATGACATATGCTAGAACATATATTGTGGATCGCCTCATCCGAGCCACAAACCAAATAATACAAATAGGTTAAAAAAATGTTACAAATAACGGCTAGGGGGATAATGTCATTGTTAATTGTGTTAATTCTTCTATATATTTCAAACGGCATCTCATTAATTCTTGCAGCTGGTTGTTTTAGGTTTTTTGTTGTTTTTGTTGTGTGATTATCGCTCCCCATTTATTAAATCCACCATCGAGGTCTTTTGTTTCGGGGGGTAACTGGTAAGTTAGTGTCATTGCTACGTGAACTTTAAAAGGGTGTTATGCCTGGTTTTGGGTTTTTTTGTTCTCCTATTACTGGATAATTTCATAATCTTCCTTACGGCTTTAGCTAGTTCGCTGATCTGGTATTTACAGTTCGATTCGTGCACACAACGCAAGACCAGTCCGTCTATCGGTTATCGATTCGCCACTCGCTTTCGTTTCCGTTTCCGGTGTCGTGTTAGTGTTGTTTTGGTATTTGGTTTCTTCTTTTTTGTTTTTTAACTTTACGCAATGTTAACATTTTTTCTTTTGATTTTGTTACAAAATCGCGTCGCCGCTTGGCAATTAATTCTCTTAGTTTCATTTATTTAATTATGTTTTGGTTTTCGTAATTCCTTTCAACTCATTATTGTTTTGCTTAGTTCATTAAAATAATGTAAAAAATCTGCAAATTGCATGCTTCTCATTAATTAATGTGCCTTTAAAAAATGTCTATGATTTCTCTATATGTATTCATTCTTATATTTACAGCAGTTTTTCTCTTTTCGTTTCGATTTTGTGTATTTGTTTGTTATTCGGTTTCTTGTGTGAACTTCTGATTCGAATCCTATTTTGTTGTTCATTTACTTAAAACCTTTGTTTTTGGCAGTGCATTTATATTTATTATTTTCGGTTCACTAATTCATAATGATTCGCCTCGGCTAATGTCTACAAATTAAGTTCATTTAGTTAGTTAGTCGTAAATTAGGTTATTAATTAATCAACAGCAGTTATTTACAATTTTCTCGTTTTGTTCTCACGCAAGGTACGTCTGATTCAACGGCTATTAAATTAAGTTCGAGTGCTTAGTTTACATTTTTAGTTATTTCATTTTTGTTCACTTTCGAAACAGAGCAACTGAAACTAGAGAGATACGACTAGAAAGTATAATTGGAAGACAGTTGTTGGGGATAATTCACGAAAACTCGAAGCAGAGGACATCGTCAGGACACCTCTCCTATAAGATAAGATTCATAAAGGAAAAGAAAACCGGGGGGCTGGATGTGGGGGAAACGGGAAACGTGTTTGATCCTTGAGCAAAACGGCTTATTGCTTTATTACAAAAATCGCAAGCAGTCCCTGAAGAAACTCGTTCAATCATAAAAACGCGCTTATCAAAAAAAATATTAACAAAACCCTCTCTCACATCATTGTGTAATCTTAACTCTTTTTTCTTTTTTTTGTTTTTAATATTTTGTTTATAACTTTAAACTTTGCATTTAGTGTGCCAAACTACAGTTGCTGTTCACTTTTCTGTTTGGTTTATTTATTTTAAATAATGTTTGTTTTTATATTATTATTAAGTTGCAGTTGCAGGTTGCAGTTTGCAGTTGCGGTTGCTGAAACTCTAAATCTTGTGGCGCTGCTCCGATCTGATCCGTCGCATCCTTATAGCTATCATTAACTGGTATTTTAGATTGGTTGATTCATCTTCTCATTTAATTATATTTATTTTTTAGGTTCTCTATCGTCTAGGCTTGAGTAGGTGTGTGCATTATTATTTCCATTTGCCTTGGCTCTTATCTATGTATGTATATGGTTTTTTTTAGTCAATTTAAATATGCAAATTCAAAACCTTCGCTTAATGTATAAGTTGAATATACAAATGTCCTCCTCTCACCCCTAACTCTGCTATTATGTATACGCACTGTTAGCTTAAGTATTTTATTTAAAATAGTCGTTGTTCATCTTCCATTTGTTTTGTATGTGTGGGTGTTTGTGTTTTTTTTGTTTTTGGTTTTTTGTAGCTGATGTGATTCGTATGTGTGGTTGTGCTCTGGGAGGAGTGGATTTTTTTTTTTGGATTAAACAAACTAACAGATTTGAAACAGATTTTGATTAATTACCTTTTCTCTGTCATTTTATCCCTGTAACTTAATTTAAGATTTAAATTTTAAATACTTTGTTTTTTACGTTTAAAAATCCAATCCCCCCATAGTGCTAGTGTCTCGTTTCTGTGATTCTCGCTTTTAACAGAGTTTTTGGCTTAGCAAAAAATTAAGTTTAATCCTCTCCCTTTTTTTGGCAGTGTAAAAATTGTAATTAATGTTAATATGGGTCCACTCCTGGATTCAGTTATTGCTTGTCCAGTCGCCGCCAGGCTGTTAGTCCTCGTCCAGGCTCTGGGAGCGCCGCTTCGAGACCACCAGATACTTGCGGCCAAAGTAGGGTGAATCTAGGGGATGCAGGATGCCGTGAGTCCTGGCTTAATGGCTTCAAGCGGCTCACTTCTTGCGCAGGAAGTCGGTGTACTTGCGTGCTCGCTTGCGCACTCGCTTCAAAGCCGATCCCAGCCGGAATTGCTCCTCGGTCAGGTCGCAGGTGTGGTGCGAATGCTGGTGGTGCGTGTGCTGGTGCGGATGCTGGTTTTGATGCTGATGCTGGTGTTGGTGGGTGTGGTGCGCATGCGAGTGGGCGTGGCTGTGGTGCGGTTGGTGCGATTGCGATTGTGGGGAGTCAGTGCTGTGATGGTAGTGATGCATCTGCACGAAATCATCGCCAGCGGGATTTACCGAGCCGGAGAGTGGGGATCCGGGCGACAGGGGCTGCGCCAGCAAATTATGCTCGGAGGCGGCGTCGAAGGACTCGAAGTGGTGGAGCTGCTGGTGGTGCGTCAGTGGCGGTGGCGACGGCAGCGATGAAGAGTGCTCGCTCGTGGTGGAGGCCCCACCAAATCCGGCCACTCCCAACCCAGCAACTGCACCGGCTCCTGTTCCAGCAAACTCCTTGGGCAACTCATCGATTCCCAGGGGCTTCTCGAAATGGGAATTTCCCGACATGTTCGTGTAATCATAACTGGGATAGGTGTAGGGCAAGTAGCCGGCGTGGTGGCTCTCGCATCCTATTTCGCCGGTGGTGTTGCCCCCCCTGTTGTTGATGAATTTCACCTCATTGGCATTCCTCTCCAAGCTGCTGCTGAATACAATATTTATGTTGTTCGAGCTCGTTGATAAATTAATATTTGTGGGCGAGAGCTGCTCCGTGGAGCTCTGGTTGAGGTTGGTCTCCTTCGAGCTGGCCCTGTAGCTCTGGAAACACTCCGCCGCGTCACTGGAAGCCGTGTTCGTGGTGTTTGTGTTGTTGTTATTCAAATTTTGGCCCTGCTGGAAGTTGTTCTTGTACTGGAACTCGAGAGCGTTGCTAGGCTGGAAGGGATAGTTCTTGGAGTTGTTCAAAATATCGCTGGCCGTGGCATCGCCCTTGGACAAGTACTGGTGGATGTCCTCGCTGGTTATCTGCAGGTCCTGATCCAGATAGCTGTTGCATTGTATGTAATTGTAGTTGTTGCTACAGCAATTGTTGTACGAATCGCCGGCATCCTGATGGAACATCACTGTGGTGGTAGTCTCCTCCTCGAACTCGCAATGGTAGTTGCCACTTCCCCTGCTGCCCCGGCTGCCGCGACTCCCCTTGCTGCCCCTCCGCTTCCTGGCGGCGGCTGCCGACGTGCTAGGACCTTCGTCGTAAACGGAGCTAGTGCTCTTCCAGCACGTCTCTGAAGTGGTGGTGCTGGAGGTGATTTTCCGGCAGGGTTTCTTTTCGGGTTCGGGTTCTGGCACCTGCCAGGCATCCAGCTTCTCCTCCGGCTCTTTTTCGGCTCCCTCACCACCCACAGCTCCTTCGAGCTCCGTGGGAGACCTGCCATCTGCCAGGAAGCTCCAGCGTATTGGCGAGGGGGAGCAGGCGTACTCCGGCAACTCCGTGCTGCTTAAGGCTCCCTTGGAGCTCTGGCGCTCCAGCGAGCATCCTTGCTCTGGGGCCATGTTCTTGGCCCGGTCGAATATGGATGTCAGGGATCCCAACTGGCTGTTGGGTCGACTGGCATTCAGACCCCTCAAGGATATGGAGGTGTAGCTGGGATGGCGGTGCTCGGGCAGCAGGCTCCTCTGACTCCTGTGGTGCTTTTTCACTAAAGCGGAGGCCGACTTGATGGAGTTGTTTCGACTGAGCGAGGAGCGGGAGCCATACAAGCTGGTGGAATCGGTTTGGTAGCAATAGTCCGAGCTGGTGCAGCAGCTGCTGGGCCTCCTGGAGGAGCCGTACAGGTCCTCGGCGAAGCACTGGGCCAGCTCCGTTCTGGATGAGCTATTGGTGGCAGTGTTGCAGCATGTTTTGCGAACTAGGATCTCCTGGACTTCGCGGTCGGAGCAAGCGGGGTCCTGGCAGTTGTGCGAGGATAGCTCGGTGACAGAACGATGCCGGCGGCTGGTGCAGATGGAGGGACGCACCGAGGCGGGATTGGCCGAGGAGGAGGAGGCCTGGTGGGCTCCCGGCAGACTGCCGCTGCCCTGGCGACGGCGCCTGTGGCTTCTGTGGTGCGAGTGATGGTGGTGGCTGCTGCCGTTGTTGTTGGAGACGGAGTGGTGCGAGTGCGGCGAGGTGTGCCGACTGTGGTGCGGACTGTGGCTGTGCTTGCGCTGCTGCTGTTGCTGTTGGCAGTGGTGCGATGGTTGCTGTTGCTGCAGTGGTTGCTGATCTAGCTGGTCTAGATGGTCTAGATGTGGTTGCTGTGGTGCTGGATTGGCTTGATCACATACGACTTCCTTCTCATAGCTACAGTGTACGTATTCGTGTGTGGGATAGCAGGACTGGTGGTGCACCTGCTGGTGGTGTTGCAACTGTTGTTGCTGCTGCTGCTGTTGTTGTTGTAGATGCTGCAGCTGATCCTCAGCGCGACTCGTGGAACGAACACTGGCAGAGTCAGGAGGCGAGGCGCTCCTCAGTCAAGGCCCGTTGCTCGGGCAGACAGGTGGAGGCTGACGAGGGTGATGGGGCGCAGAGGCAGCGCTCCGGCCCTGGTGTGTACTTCGGCCGCCGTCTAAAAATCGCTCGGATGCAGCTGCTCAGCATAAAAAAACATACGCCAAACAAAGTAAACACAAAAATGTACAGAAAATAAAAAGCAAAAAGATTAACCAATTAATATTGCGTGCCAAATTTCATAGATTTCTTTGCATCGTTGGAATTTGATTTATTATTTCGTTTTTAATTTTGGTTTTTTAGCGGGCATTGGTAGCTTTGCTATGTAAATATAAATTCCACTACTGCTAATTAAAACAGTGCATGCAAAAAGTCCATGCCAATAATACGCATGCAGCAAAAACTCATGCTCAGTCGATAAAGTCAACAAAACACAATATCCACATGGCGTTGATGAACTCGAGAGGGGCTTGGATGCTCGGTGCTTGATTGATGGACTGATTGATTGATAAATTAATTTACTGAAACGATTTTGCACTCTTTTTTTTTGGAGAGCGCTTCATAATTTATGATTGCCAATATGGAATACGGCTTTTTGTTGAAACTAGTAATAGTTAAAATAGACGAGATGAGTATTTTTCAAATTAATTTATATTGCCGAGGCAGATGCTTTTCAAATTCAACAAAAAAAACAACAAGCCACTGATTATTGTTTAATTAGTTGGCTTTTAATATAAATTTTATTTCAAATGATTCGAAATGAAAGTGTCAGACGAGTTTGAATGATATGATTGTATTGTATTATTGGCACTTTGCTTTCTGATCTTTGAGCGAGTGTGTGTTAATTTAGTGGATTGGTTCTTTGTTCTGTGGGTATATCCAAAGACAGAGTGGTGCGACTTTTCTTTACTTAGCCAATCGGTTCGCTTTAGATAGATAGTTGGTCCCCAGTTCAGTTGTTTCCCGTTCACTTGCGTACTGTATAAGGGATATAAACGAAAGGAAAACAATATAAGCTACGATTCAGATCAAATCCGAACAGTCTTTGGTTCGTTTTGGCTTCAGTTAGAGCCTTTGACTAAATATATGTATTGTGCATTATTTTAAGTGCATTTTGGTTGTTTTTGACGCAGCTCGCTTTGGGCATTTGTCATGTAAATGCTTGAGTGGTTCGGTGGCTGCGTGGTGGCTCAATAGCTAATAGCTCAGTGGCTGACTAGCTTGGGTGGTGGCTTATTTAGTTAGCTTGGGTGGTGCTGGGTCAACCTACATGACATCCTTCCGTGGGCCGAGTGACGGCGGAAACTGTAGTCATCGATGTCATCGTAGTGGCACTTTCGCGCCGGCTGCGGCGTTTGCAGATTGGTGCCGTAGTTCGTGTAGCACTGACCGGACCCGGGCCCGGATCCGGAACCGACCAGTCCCACCGGGCCATAGCTGCTCGACCCGGGTCCCAAGAGATTGGTGCTATCGCTCAGCGGATAGGGACCCATGCCTTCAACCGTCAATGAAAACGAGGTCGTACCAAACACTTGATTATTACAAAAGTACGGTAAAGGATATCTCGGTGTTCGATTCGATTTTTGATTCGATTTTAGTTTAGTTTTTCATTTCATGCAAGATCAGATAGTCGCCAGATTGTGATTTTCAGTTGGTTACATACAATAGTTGAGTGTCGGTTGTGTGTTTGGTTGGTCCAGTTGTGATGGTTGGTCGATTGATCGATTAATTGAGAGATTTCCAATGTTTAAAATTCAGTTTGATTCAAAACACAATTCATAAATCCAAATGGAAATATATAATGCGAGATAGTTAATTTATTCAGAGATACTAGAGAGTATCGCATAAGAATTTAATTACAGATTAGAACAGTACAGATTGAAGTTCTACAATAACAAGCGACTATTTTATTTAAAACTAAACCAGAATGGCATTCCAAACTAAAATATACAATTACTAGGCAAACAATAAATTAATCAGTAATTTATTGACACACACACAAATAGTAATATTAATGAGTGGAGATGATCCGAGATTGGTAAAGGATTTTTGAAATGGATTCGGGAAATGTATATTTCTGTTTTGGCTTAAAAACGAAACGGGATAAGTGTCAGCTAATTGCTCGTTAATGTGTGGCATGTTTTCCATTCGGGAAGTAATTATTTTTAATATCCTTGGAGATTCGACTAACATCCCTTAATTATTTGTTTCTAATTTGGGGAATAATTTCGCCTTCGGGCCAAGCAAAAAATTAATTATGCGACACGTTGAACACGTGTTGCTTATAAAGGAATTTACATTGTGGATGCGTTCTGTTTGGTTATGGGCCGGTGTTTTCGGTTTCAACATTTAACAAGTATATATATTTTAAATTAGGGTTCGTCTTGTTTACCTAGAGGACATTTTCTGGCTTGTGTTTGTTTAGCAACAACATGTGTTTATGGATATGCAAATATTGGATGTGTCGTTCGAGCAATTTGCACAACAAATAACGTGAATTAAAAACTCAAATTTATACAGGGATTTGAAACTGAAACGCAATCAAGGTGTTAGGGTTGTGGGATTATATAATTTTTGTTGTATTTTGAGGTTTTTCAGGTGTAGGATTCGGGTTCGGAGTCGGATTCAGATTCGGATTCGGATTCAGATTGAAATTGAGGTGTACTAGGCGTAGGAACGTAGGCGTGTTTTGGATTCTTACGTGAGTCATGTTGGGTCTTCTCCTCGGATACCATCAAGGCGGCATGTTCGATGCCAGAATTCATACTTTGTGGCTCCAAGCTATTTGTGCAGTTTAGCATACTCCTGAAATTCGCACACTCTACGATTATGTTTTAAGTGTAAACGTATTTGGTAAATTTAATTTCTTTGCAACTAATGAGAGCAATTTCGAGAGTTTATCGGGGTTGTCGGGAGGACACAGAAAAAGGATTCTGGTTCAACACGAAGGGGTCTCTGTAGCTGTAACGTGTCTGATATGTATTTCTGCTTGGAAGTTATTAGGCGCGACTTAGAAATGATATTTAATAAAGAAATAAAAACGAAAATAATATAGTTTTTTAAGAAAATAACATTTATTTTTTAAATAAAACATAAATTGTGAAATAAACATGAATTAAACTAACACTATTTCTAGAAGTAAATGGCTTCCAGATTTTCGGCAACATCTTTTCTCCCAAAAAGTCCCGGGGTTTTCAATAACTCCTTCAATTAACGTTAGATTAATGTAAACATTAATTGATAATTCAATTAATGTTAGATTAATTTAAACATTAATTGAAAGGGTTGATGAAAAAGATTCCTGTACTGGGAAGTGAAACTTTTCATTGCGCTTTGGGTCGTGAGGAACCCTGGTTCGACGTGGTGTCATTATTAGAACGTTCCTCGCTAAAAAAAGGTCAGAATAAAGGTCAGTGTACGTGTGTGGTTGTGGGTGGGTTCATGAATCATGATTTGTAATTGCCTTAAACTAACCAATTTTATTTTTAGATAATGGACTATGAAGGGACGGGGAACGCAATGAGAGCGATTCTGATTCTGATACTGATTCGATACATGGGGACACAGACAGATGAGATGCGACTCTTAATTATTATAAAGTAAGTATAGGTAACGATATAGCTATGCATAGAGAGAGAGAGAGTTGGAGAGTAGAGTATTAAAATTGATATTAAATATTTGGGTATTTATATATTGTTGATTTTTGTTTCTAATATTTTTATTTATCTTGCTTTAACGGCAGCCAGTTTTTTATGGGTTGTAGTTGTAGTAGTTGGAGTAACAAAGTAACGAGTCGTAACAAAGTACAGGCAAAGTTAAGCAGACATGCCGAAAAATTTGTAGAAACTTTGAGCGCAGGAATTCACAATTTCGAATCGATTAATTTCTTTTGATTTTTCGGTTAAAATTTTGTACATAAAGTGGCTAAATAAGGTACAGCAATACGAGCTACTTTTAAAGGTGGTAGTTTGAAGAGCGAAACGCATCGGATCGGATTTGATTGTGGGATTTTAGATTCGGAATTTAAAAGAGCCGACCCATTGGGCCTGGATCTGATCACCTTCGATGACTTCATGCAACTTACCCGTACAGTCTACTATCTCGAAAGGTCCTTCGGGGCATACATGGAACGTAGTTCAAGTCAAAGGGTTATTTTCAAAACTTATTTGTGCGACAAACTCAAAATATATACAAAATTTTCAAACTAAAACAAATGAATAGCTTTGATTTCTGAATGGGATTCAAGAATCAAGTAGGGTATGCAAACCGCATAATAAACTTCCAAGTAATGTTAAGAGGGGACAGAGTATACAAATTCGATGTTCTTGTGTTGGTTAGAGATTGTTTCTGGTTATGAGTTGGTTAACTAGTCGACAAATTGCCATGATTTGTGTGCAGAATATTAGCTGGGTAATAATTTAATTATAGAGTCACATACCTGCCGTTGTTGTGCCGGAAGAGAGCCAGGATCTCCTCGAAGGTTTTGTTCTTGGTCTCGGGCACTTTCTTGTAGGTGAATATCCAGAAGATGGCCAGGAAAACGCTAAACGGCAAGAAAGTATAGTTTTCCAGGGCAGACTAAAAGATAAAAACATAATTAGTTTATTGTTTTTGTAAGTTAGTGAAGCTTAGATTGACCCACCTTCATGCTGGGGAAACCAATGCCGACCACAAAGTTGGCCATCCAGTTGACCAGAACCGCAATGGCCATGGCACTGGGCCGAGGTCCCTGGGAGAAGAGCTCGGCGGTGATCATCCAGGGTATCGATCCGGGTCCCACAGCGAAGAATACCACAAAGCCGAGGGTGGCCACCACCGATAGATAGGACATCCAGTCGATCATTTCCTGCACATAACCAAAGAACTCCTATACAAAATGCATAGTATTCGCATTCTCGATCGTTTGAAGGCTTTTTTCTCTCTACTCGCGATTAACGAACTCTTTCGAGACAACACTATCTCCTCGTAAATAAATCATAAATCAAACAAATTAACCTTCTGTTGGGCCAGACCTCTTTTATGCATGAGTTGTATAAAGTATTTGGAAAATACGAGTATTAGATAAAGTAGCTTGGAGCTGGCTGGTCGTGGAATCTTGGTTCTCAAAGATTTGACCTATGCCTAGAGGACTGCCGCTCGAGTTTTTTTCTGGCTTTAGAGGCTTAGGAATGCTTAGTTGTAGTTGGTAAAGTATCTATATCTTACACAAGTACCGAAAACTTAAAATTTAAACTTAAAAAAAGTCACATTGATGGTGTGTATGGTAAGTTCTGTATATAAGCATCTTGTGTAAGAAATTTCAGCGCGGTGCTCGACTCTATTTTTCTCCTTTGAATTTTTGTATTTTTTGTTTTGTTTTTGTACATTCTGTGGATCTGGTGGAACTGGTGCCCGAGAAACTTTTTGCAGAATTGTGTAATGGGTTTTGATTGGTTTTTGATTTTTTCAAAACATTTGCTTGCCTTTGAAACTGTGTGAAGAATTGCTTCTAGTCGTGGCCTGATCAAGCGAAAATAAAGCAATAAATCATAAACTGAACGAATTCGTCAACTGATTTCGAGTGAGTGTCTTGTGGGGCAAAAGCCTGCCAAGTCGAGAATAGCAGAGTTCAGGGGTGGGACCGTTGCACAGCTGGGCTGACCTTGACACTTTCATCCAGGAAGTTGCCTTTCATCGTATTTCATTTGACAATGAGGAGGAAAGTTCTTGGATTTGTTAACAAACTTAAAAGGTAGCCCAACTTCGCAACAACTTAGCCTAAGCAACTAAAAAAAAAAACAGACAAGAATTCATTTAAAGGCAAGCAACGTGCATAAAGTGTATAAAATGTAAAACAAAATATACTTTTTGTAGTAAAAAGTAGACAAAATATGTCAGAATAATACTAAAGCATTCCAAAGCTAATCATGCAGGATAAATAATCTGCGTAAACATATTTTCAAATCGCAGATAGGGGAGATAATTAATAACTAAAGCGACCAAGTGTTGGCCTATAAATTAAACACATCTATGACTTAAATGCAATGCATCAGCCAAACCAAACTCACAAAAAAATGCACATACATTTAATGGCTGAGGGAGCGTCGTAAATTCCACTTGTTATAAATTCAAATATATCTCACATCAATAATTTATAGAAATACGCGCGGGACAACTGTCATACCATGTATTTGTGTGTTTTGTAAGTGTGTGAGTGTTTTCACTTTTTCTGTTTTTTGTTGTTTTTTTTTTGGGTTCTTTGGGGGCTTTGGGGGGCTGGGTTAAACACAACGTCATGCATAAAAAATTTATATCAATATTCAAATATTTATAAACACGCACTCCGCTTTTTGGACGAAGTGGAGATAGGGTTTGGGGAATAGGGGGGATGAGTTCTCTAGCAACTCTAGGACTTTCAAAATCATATGCAAATGCGTTGGGCCCGCTAAGTGGACCCACTCACTAAATTTTAATGGAGCGATGGGGTAAAAGGTTAAAAAACTCAAACGAAATTCGTAAAAAAAGGAACACACAGGCAGGAGCTTTTACATTGACATTCGCATTCGCAGGCAGTGCTCAAATTTACAGGAGCAGGAGCCTAGAATCCTGGAAACCCCTAAACTTGCCTTGATCAGGAACGAAATGGTGATAAAGATGGAGAAGATGAACATGCCACCGAGTCCATAGAGGTGCAGGGTCCTGCGTCCTGTGCGATCCATCAACGGAATGGAGACGAGGGTCATAACAACCTGTGGATAAAACAAAGTTTTATATATTGTACAATAAACTTAATTCATGAATTATTAATCTTAGAATATAATCATTCAAATTGTATTAATAGGCCTTTTTTGTCAAATTACCGCTTTAAAATTCTGATGAAAGAAAATATGTTCAACCGCAAGGGCCATAATCTTTTAATAATGAACCCGATTCTTGACCGAAACACCTACACACATCTTCGTAAGTCTGCATCAAAATCTGGCAACAAAATATTTTTTAGATTTTTTCCAAATTTTCTGGTGGGTCCCCTTCGAAAATTCACAAAATGCATGGAGCCACTATTTGACCCACATCAACAGCTATATCTTTGGCAATAGTCATCGGATTCTTGAGCGGAATGCACTAAACGATTTGTAGATCTATTCTCCGTAAAGCTGCATCAAAATCTGGCAACAACATATTTTTAAGATTTTTTCCAAATTTTCTGGTGGGTCCCCTTCGAAAATTCACAAAATGCATGGAGCCACTATTTGACCCACATCAATAGCTATATCTTTGGCAATAGTCATCGGATTCTTGAGCGGAATGCACTAAACGATTTGTAGATATATTCTCCGTAAATCTGCATCAAAATCTGGCAACAACATATTTTTAAGATTTTTTCCAAATTTTCTGGTGGGTCCCCTTCGAAAATTCACAAAATGCATGGAGCCACTATTTGACCCACATCAACAGCTATATCTTTGGCAATAGTCATCGTATTCTTGAGCGGAATGCACTAAACGATTTGTAGATCTATTCTCCGTAAATATGCATCAAAATCTGGCAAAAACATATTTTTAAAATTTTTTCCAAATTTTCTGGTGGGTCTCCTTCGAAAATTCTCAAAATGCATGGAGCCACTATTTGACCCACATCGACAGCTATATCTTTGGCAATAGTCATCGGATTCTTGAGCGAAATGCACTAAACGATTTGTAGATATATTCTCCATAAATCTGCATCAAAATCTGGCAACTACATATTTTTAAGATTTTTTCCAACGTTTGTGGTGGGTCCCCTTCAAAAATTCACAAAATGCATGGAGCCACTATTTGACCCACATCGAAAGCTATATCTTTGGCGATAGTCATTGGTCAGATCTATTCTCCGTTAATATGCATCAAAATCTGGCAACAACATATTTTTAAGATTTTTTCCAAATTTTCTGGTGGGTCCCTTCGAAAATTCACAAAATGCATGGAGCCAGTATTTGGCCCAGATCGATAGCTACAGAAGCTATATCTTTGGCAATAGTCATCGTATTCTTGAGCGGAATGCACTAAACGATTTGTAGATCTATTCTCCGTAAATATGCATCAAAATCTGGCAAAAACATATTTTTAAAATTTTTTCCAAATTTTCTGGTGGGTCTCCTTCGAAAATTCTCAAAATGCATGGAGCCACTATTTGACCCACATCGACAGCTATATCTTTGGCAATAGTCATCGGATTCTTGAGCGGAATGCACTAAACGATTTGTAGATCTATTCTCCGTAAATCTGCATCAAAATCTGGCAACAACATATTTTTAAGATTTTTTCCAACGTTTGTGGTGGGTCCCCTTCAAAAATTCACAAAATGCATGGAGCCAGTATTTGGCCCAGATCGATAGCTACAGAAGCTATATCTTTGGCAATACTCATTGGACTCTTAATCAGAATACTTGAAAGATTATTTTATTGATCCTGCATCGATCAGTCGTTGACTTACCATTATGGCGCCTATGCCTATCGTGGCAAACTTGGCGCTTTCCTCCGTCAGTCCGGAGCTCATAAAGAGCGACGTGGAATAGTAGAAGACGGCGTTGATGCCACTGAACTGCTGGCTCAGCTGCATCACAATGCCAATGATGAGGGGCGGACGCAGGGTGGGTGAGCAGATTAGCTCCATGGTCGATATGTGGCTCTCGGCCTGCTGGGCGCGCTCCTCGGCCCTCATCTCCTCAATGTCCTCTTCCACAGAGCCAGAGGCTCGCAATCGACGCAGGGCTAAAAAATATAATTTTCAAAGCATATTTTCTGACTAAATTTATGATTTATTAAATTTTAATAATCCACAAAAACCTCTGTTAACCTTGTGGCTTAAAAACATTAGCATATATTTAGCATAAATGAGACTTTTTTGTTAAATTGATTAGAACGTAATTAACCTGGCATAAATGCAAAAGATAAATCATTTTAATCCATCGTGGATTTCGAGAACCCCTTTGACAATTTATTTATTTGTAATTTAGTTGGTTTTTTTTGTGACAGTTTGTTTTGGCTTTAAATAATGCATAATAATTATTTTGACTTACCCTTGCGCGCCTCCTCCTCCCACTGCTTGGTGATGAGCAGATATCTGGGAGACTCGGGGCAGACGGGCAGCAAAATGAGTTGCAGGATGGCCGGACAGATGGCCAGGCCGAGGAGGATGGGCCAGCCCTCGTTGGTGCCCAGGATCTGCTCGATGCCCAGCACTTGGGATAATAGTAAACCTACAGTCACAGCCAATTGATTAACAGTACCTAAGCCACCGCGCAGATTCAGTGGCGCTATCTCCGAGATGTACATGGGCACCAGCGACGTGTTGAGGCCTTTAAAATGTTACAACATTCAAGAGCCGGTTTATGGAATTATTTATTGCAGTACATACCGCAATTAACACCAATGATAAATCGGCCAAGGAATAACATTTCATAGGAATGACTAACTTTGGTAAATCCCATTAAACAAGCGCCGGAAATTCCGAGCACATTATTTAACAGTAGGCCGCCTTTTCTGTAATCAGGAGTGAAATATACAAAAATGGGTATGAGTACGGCTAGTTAGGACTATATTAAATTAAAGACAAACTAACCTGCCAAAGCGGTTGGCCATCCAGCCGCCGCTGAAACCGCCCAGCATACCACCGATGGCGAATATGGAGACTGCCACCGAGTAGAGCTGCTGGATGAACTCCTCGCTAATGTCCTCGCCGTAGCGGTCCTTGTACACATCCTTCATAAAGTTCTCGATATTTTTCTCTGGTGCATTGATAACTCCGGTGTTGTAACCGAATTGCAGCATGCCCAGCACCGCCGAGAATATCGAGTAGGTGAGGAAGAAGGTAAGACCCTGGAAGGTGTTGAATGGATTTCATTAGTGTTGAACTTATTTAGAGGGGGAGTGGAAGGCGGGACGGTTGGGGATTCGGTGGGGGGCTGTGCGGGCGGGTCCATCAAACGCTTTGCAAACGAGTGTGCGGCAAGGAAACCAAACCTAACTCTTTGGAGAAGGCCAATTATCTAATTAGAACTCAAGCTCAAAACTAAAGCAAACGATAGTCTGATGAATGAGAGTGTGTGGATGCTGGAAAGTATAATTAAATTAAATAAAAACAAACTGATAATATTCTCAAAACCATTCAAATTTATTTCTCAATTGCTTGCTACAAAAAATAATATAAATAATTAATATACAAGTTCCTTTAAAATACGTTGATGAAGAAGCCGTCTGTACGTGTGGAGTGTTGGCGGAAAAATGTTCTCTTAACTTTACAATTTCATAAATTAAATGCAAATTTAAAAATTAAGGGAATCATTTTTTGGCAAAAAGTGAAACCAATTTGAGGAACATTTGCATCTGTCCATCATCATGGCAACAGTTTTTGCTGTCAGTGGTTAAGTGTGTCTGGTGGGATGGATGTTTCGGTTGGTTGGATGGTGGGTTCGGGTGGGGTGGTTGTCTTTGGTTGGTTTGTGTGGTTGTCTGGCTCTGGATAGTAGTTGGTTGTTGGTTCTTGGTGTTTCGGTTTGTACATGAATAGAGAAATGAAATTCAAGTATTTAATTACACAACATGGCAAATAATTTAAGCTACAAACTTGTTCTAAAAGTCTTAGCTTCCGTCTGTGCGTATGCTCCTCCAGTCGATCGACATATTCGCGCAGCTCCTCGATCTCCTCCTTGACCTGCTGCACGGTGTCCAGTTCATGTTTGATGGCCACCATGTCACGCTTTACCTGGGTTATGATATTATATGGATATAATTATTTCAAATCTAGAAGAGCCTCCAAGTCCTATCCCATACTCACCTCGGACACCTCGCTCTGGCAGCTCTCCACCGATTTGGTCAGCTCCTGGAGCTGTGTCCGGATTTCGCACAAGGCGACTGTCGTCTCCAGGTGTCGGTCGCCTCGCTGGAGTTCATCGAGTTTCGCTGACAGATTCATGCTCATCACGCTAACTTGCTTTTGCAAACTATGAGTGGGTGGTTGGGGTCCACCAGGATTTCATTTCCAAATTCGCCAAAAAATTCAAATGCATGACGTGAGTTGGGGTCACGCCAGGGTTTTTGTTTTTTGTAGGTTTTTCGGTTTCATTTGTTATTTCATTTAGTCGGGATCGTGTTTCGGGTTCATAGTCGTAGTTGTAGATTGGCGGCAGATTACAGATTGCGGTTTGGAGTCAAAGAAAATATCAAGCAGAAATGCACTTTAGTCGTACGTTGGCAGGAATGCCTTTGTGGCTGATTTCATTCCTTGTACTTTTCAGTACTGGTAGCTACTAGACTCGCTACTACACACGCACATCCACAGGCACATACACCCTCACAGGCTCATACACACACACACATACACAAAGAGAGTAGGTTACTTAGCGTATACGTAATTTATTTTGCAACTGGCGTAAAGGCAAAACGCAAAAAGCAAAACGTTAACGCAAAACGTAAACGAAACACAAAACGAAATTATTTATGACCGCTTGCATTAAAATTTACTGAGCTATGCAATTATTGAGGAATGAAGCAACATAAATTTTATGGGCCACAGCCCGAAACAGAAACAGAAGCAGAAAACTGAACGGAAAATACCAAAGACTGCTAAGACTGGGAAACTGAAAACGCACGCCAGACCAGGACAGGACAGGCCAGGGTTCTTTAGAGAGAGTATAGTAACTCAGCACTCCTTGGGCAGAAGTCCAAAGGTCTGGCGAAAGGATTTCTGTGTTGGGGCAGAAACAACAAGGAGGCGAACGAAAGAACAGCAATAATAACAAAGCCAGGCCACTAAGTACATAAAAAGTAACTTAAAGTAAATTGTTGGCATATTTCGTTAAGGTTAAGGCAAGAGTAATGTACAATGCACGAGAATGAAAAGTTGACGGCATTATATATACTTAAGCTGTACTCAGTACTCTCTACACTGTATCTTTTCAAAAACTCTGTCGACGATAGCCACAGTCATCCCATTTATTTTGGGCAGTCCCCCTTCTTTTTTTGGCAAAGTCAACTCTTCCGAGTCCGAGTGATAGATGGATAGACAGACCCTGTCATAGTTGTGGTCATAATCCTGTTTCCATTCTGGCAATGGCTTGAATTTACATTTTTATCAGCGGCTGCGCCATGTCTGGCAAAAAATAAGTCACAGTTAAAGCCTAATTGAATTTTAAATATTTTAAATCCAACACTTTCTGCCTAAACTTTAGTTTAGATAAGTCGATGGCATATCTACCTCTGAAATTGTAAATCGCTCTGTTCATTGTTCGCTGGCTTTTGGGGGAGGAGGCTTTGGAGGCAGTGGAGCAGAGGGAGTGGCATTTAAATCAACTGCAACAAAAGTTGCGGACAACAGTTGCCAGCGCCGGGCGGATAGGGAATTGCGATATGGCCATGTAGCCTCTCGGCGGTGCACACAATGCGCATACGACACGTGGGCCAGAGAGGAGTGTAGGCGAGGCCGTGCTTGAGTTGCCTGCGCATTATGTTAATGCAAAGCCTATGCAAGGGGGAGCTGGGGGAGGGGACAGGACAGGACCTCCCTGTGAGCTGGGAGCTATCGTTAGTTCTGTTATTGTTTTGCATTTCACGGACATTGTTGTGCCGAGCATAAAAGGATTATTTTATGCATACATCAGCGAACGAAACCGAAACATAAACCGAATCCGTAACAGAATCCAAAACAAAATCGAGAGCCAGAGCCAGAACCAGAACCAGGACAACAGATTCGAGCGTACGTATCCTGTGAAAGTTATTGTTCTCTGGGTAAACAATTGCTGTCCCATGTGTTAGTGCCATCGTATGTCAGCTGCAGGAATTTTCGGTTTTGTGTAAAGGATTTGTATACGTGAGCATTTAATAAATTTTCTGCCAATTTCTTCCTGCCTTGTGCATTCATTAAAAGCTTCAGTACGTGCAGTAATACCCCCTACCCGTCACAATTTCCCCGCCCATTCGACATTCCTTCCTTTTCCGTTCTGCCAAAAAGGATATTTCATTTTGGCTGCCACGCGAGAGGGGAATATCAAATTTGTGACAAGACAAAGCTGTTATGCCCTCAGCGGATTATCCCGGTCAGGATTTCAATCACATTAACCCTCCCAAATCCGTAGATGGAGTACAACAGCATCCGTCAAATATTCAGACTCGTTTCACCTTCATATGTTCATACATCGGTTATGGATAGAGAGGACTTGAGAGGGTTGGCTTTACAAGGGGGGGTTTACAAGGTTTTTTGGTTCACAATCAACGTTTCTGTATCCGAACAGTTCAGATCTCAGTGCACACAATAAATTCAGCGAATAAATTAAAATCAAAATCGTTTGTTCTCGTACAGCTACATGGACTATATGTGGCTGCATATAAAGTACAAGTACATCAATCAGATCGAATCGGATTGTTTGGGGTTCGGAGATTTTTTGGGGTTGGGGATATCAAACCAATTGGCATATAGGACATTCACCAAACGTTGCAAATTGTTGTTTTTCTGGTTTTATTTTTTTATATTCAGTATCAAATATATAAATAAATATGTATATACTTTTGCTGCAGCTCTCGAGCTCTCGAGTATGGCATTTGTAAATCAATTTAAATTTATTTGTGGTCTCGTTGAATTCGGTTCGCATGACAATATTTTATGATTTGCATGATTAACATTTTGTTTATTTTATGAAATTGTTTTATTTCGCCTTAAAAAGAGAGATATATGCAAAGCCAAATGAGCGGATGAACGGAAAACAAATGTCTCTACTCGGCATATTTCACGATGGGGTAAAAGTTCGAATACGAAAAAAAACCAACAAAGAGCAACAAACTTTATACTTATACTTTATGTGGATTGTACGAATATTTTCTGGTTGTCACAGTATTCTCATAGTTTCATAGTATTTTTTGGTTAATTTTGGTGAAGGGACCGTTACGCCAATTAGTCTGGGATTTGTTGTATGCAAACATTAAAACATTAAACCATAAAAAGTGTACAGCAATTCATTGCAGCAACGAACCAAATATATATGTAACCAAAAAGACAGGACAACAAAAAAATAATTCACAAACGACACAAATGGAGGAGAGGACGTTTAACGAGTTGAAAAATCCTGAAAATATTGTGTGACTGACTGGCTGACTGAGTGATGTATTGGGCAAGGGATTAAGCACGACGGGCGGTGGGTGGGTGGTTGGTTGGTTGGGTGTCTGGGGGTTAAGCTAATTATGAACTTGATGACATGCAAAAGGATGAAGGACACCGAAAGCGACACAATCAGAGTGAGGCAGCGAGAGAGAGAAAGGGCGCTGAAGTGGCCAACCGCATGCTGATTGACTGCCCGGCCAAAGGATGTTTGTCAATGGCTTTACATGGCTGCGAATAAGTGTGTGGGGGCTGTGAATGTGTGTGTGGTGCGAACAGCGACTTAATGGCACTCAAACACTTTTTGGCATGTCATAAAAAACACTATACAGCCACCCACCCACTCAGCCACACAACCATCACATGGAGTATCGCAACCACAAGTTAATCTCTACTTTTTCACAAGCTATTTATTTTGTTTCATGAGAGTTTAATCTCATTAAGTAATCCAGTATCAATAAAATATTTAAAGATTATATTCTTCTCCTTAGCTGATTACCTAATATATATTTTGGAAAGTGTTCAATTGTGGTTGCTGTCGAGGACTTTTCGAGTTGCAATACTGAAACCACAATCACAACCTCAACACACTTTCTCTCTCTACTTCACTCGAGCTGATGATGGGCACGTTTTCGAAACTAAATTAATTTATTTGAACTTAATTGAATTCTAATTGTAATTCATGCAGTGCGATGGGTATAGCGCCAATAGACAGAGACAGAAAATAGACAGAGATATTTAGAGAGAAAGAGAAGATGAGAGGGTTATAAATAGTTGACTGGGTTTTTGGGCGAAATATTCTAATAATTAACAAATCAATTTGATGGGCTACGAGTGCCAAAAGAGTGTGCAAAGTGCAAAGGGGTAGAAGGGGGAAAATTTCTGGATTATTGCATTACAATATATATGAAAGAGAGAGGGTGGGAGGAGTAGCAAAAATATTTAGATTCGTAATTGAAGTTAGTTGGTTGTAATTGCATACTCATTGAGTGGCGTGAATACCAGGCCACTTTGCGTGTGGCTTTTTGTTGTAACGGTGATTTAGTTGAGTTGAGTTGTTGTTGTTGTTGTTGTTGTTCATGGTACATGGTAGAGTTCATGGAGTTCATGGAGTTCATAGAGTTATTGTGGGGAATTGGATGATAAAGAACACGTATAGACATTTGTACAACAAGTGAGGCAGCAAGGAGCTCCGATAATGCATTTTATTAGCTTCTCAAATAATGTACTGCTAACGAAATTCATTTCCGGAGATTGCAGACAAATACTGCTATATACGTACGTACACAAGTAGAGAATATATAGTTACATATTTATAAATAAGTGTCTATATTGTATGCATTTATGTTGTATGGAACGGAACGCACACTTGAGTGATTGACAGACATTGTGTGGAAATGAAATTGTGGACACATGCGTGTTCAATCACTCAGTGACATTTAAGCAAAGTAAATACATTTCGATTGAGTTGCAATTTTGTATGGTACAGCGCGTGACACAGCGAACACAAAAAAAATGGCACAACGAAAGGAGGTGGCATGGTGGCAGGGTGGTATTGTGAAAGCAAAGGCAGCAAACGGTAAACAAATGCTGCTAATTAACAATTTTTAATTAAAGTTCTATCAATGAGAATGAGAATGAGAAGCCATTTCAGTTACAATCACGTTTACACAATTATTAATATGAGCAATGAGACAGACAACGAAACAATTCAATAAGAGTGATGGGCCGAAAAAAACTGAAAAGAAAGGAAAATCAAATGTGTGCTCTGTATACATGGCGTATGAGTGATGCGTTCGAACTGCAATCTCATCTTTAATTAATTGATAATTGTTAATGTTAATGTTAATTAATTTACTTTTAGATTAACTCTATGGCTAGGGCTGAATGAATGAATATGTTTGCATGTACCTGGGTGGCATTGTGCCCATCATTTTGTTGGCTTTTCTTGGGCCTTCGCCTCACACTCGTCGTCGATAAATTGATTTCTTTATAGAGTCTTTTCTTTTTTTATTTTATTATTACAATAATGTATGTCTATAGTTGCTTTGCTTTTGTCTCTTCACTTTCTTCGCTTTCTTTTCAGGGTTTGGTGAATGTCGTATGTGGCCGCGCGGTATAGTTATTTGGGGTCTATACTTGGATATCTATATCGGGAACGGGTTGCGCAACAAAAACAACACAACACAAATGCCCTCAATGAATAATTGACAGTCTAAGGACACACGCAGGACACTTAACTGAACATAACTTGCGCAAATCTGTGTGGGAGGAGAACATTAAACAATCGGTTGGCATATACATTGCATATTTGCTCGTTAATATCACAAATCACAAACCGCAAAAACAAACTTTAACTGAAAACTGAAAACCAAATAAAACGGAAATACTTATGGGTATTAATTTATTTTTTTTTTTTTTTGCTGTGGCTGCTTTTGCAGTAATAGCACACAAAAGGGCACAAATTAAAATTGAAATGAAAATTTATTTACGCCGAAACTTAAAATATCGTCCTTTATTTGTTTAATAAATTAAATAAACATGGCGCACACAAATAATTGCTGTTTATTTATCTAACTAAAAACGGATATTTATGGCCTGCAATCCTTTGGTCGCTTCTGCAAATTAATGGCCCGTAATGAGCTTTCGGCCACCAAAAATGGTGGAGGCCTCCGGACTCCATTACAACGAGGCAATTTGGCAGCGGATCATCGGAGGGCAGGTTGTCGGTATTAGTATATCTACTAGCTACGTACTCGAGCAGCAATTGGCGCAGTGTGGCCTCGTCCTCGCCATGACATCTCAGCCTAGATTCGCGGTCTCGATCATCTCGACTCGAGTGGCGTTGCCTTTTGGGGGCGTAGCTGAAGGAGTGGCGGTAGAAGCGGCCGTTGTTTATGTTAGCTCCACGATAGGCGTCTTAATATGTGGCAGGGATATGAAAGTTGGTAGATACAATTATGACTTTATAAAAAACAAAGTAGCGTACTAAAAAATGTATTATACATTCTAAACTTTAAATAAAATTTAGTTCTTTGAATGTTTTCTTAATAATGGTATTTTAAAACTATTCTTTAGTATAATTCTTAAACATAAACATCCTTTTTTCTAAAAAGTATACACACCTTCGGGTCGCAATCGCACAGGCGGTGAGGTCAGCTTGAGTTGTGTTGACGTTGTTGTGGGCGGAGTCTTACGTCGACCACCAAAAACATAATCGTAGGAATCTTCGCTCAAATTGGACACTGCCATGGCATGAGGAGAATTCAAAACACACATAACACATTTTAGCACTCTTCAGGAGTATAAATAAAAAAAAAACGAAACTAAACAAAAACACCAAAATAAAACTTACTCAAATGCACAAACTAAAACCGAAATTAAACTCAAACTAAAGGATAATATCACAAGCTGTTGTTATTCCATTTTGTATACTCACTCTACACATTTTATGATACACAAATATTTTTTCAAAATAAGAATAATGTTAGAAATACGCAAGTAAACATTAGAATAAACGCAAATATTGAAATTGTCGAGATTTTGTCATTTTTCATTTTTATTGTTGTAGTACGTAGTTGATGTTGTTTTTGGTTGTTATTATTATTGTTGTTGGTTGGTTGGTTGGTTAGTTGGTTGGACGAAATGGAAGAATAGAGAGCACAAAATGTTGCAGTTTGTTAGCACTTTGATTTCGATGCAATTTTCATTTTCATGGACATCACAAAAAAAGGTATCTAAAGATTGACACACACAGGTAGCTATGTAGGTAATTCTGGCGTTCAAAAAACTCTCAACAAAGCAGCTGCAATCTGGTATTGTTTCTCTAATAAACAATTTTCAAAAAATACACACACAGCATAGTAGTATTGGCAGCGTTCAAAAACAGAGCAAAGAGCTACTTGAAAAAATTCGAAACTCTGAAATGATTTGGAATTTGCTTTTGTTTTTTTTTTTTGAGTGGGGAAGAGCACAAATAAAAAATGTTTTCTTTCTTTTTTTTTTTTTTTTTAAATATAGTCAAAAATTGGCAATAAAAATGGCAAGCAAATGGAACTAGACAAATAGACAGAGATAGAGAGAGAAAGTCGGAAAAAGACAGAGTGTGTGTGTGCGAGGGTGAGCTAGAGAGAGAGGGCATCAATAAATTAATGGACGACTGTTTGACTGATTGGTTTTTAAGATTTGACTGATTGATTGATTGACTGACTGGCTGGCTGACTGGCTGGTATTGCTGCTGAAATGCTAAACAAAAGTTTTTGGGACAAAATGTTCTTTGTGGGAATGTTCGAGTGTGGTATCAGGTTAGTGTAAGGTGTAAGGTTTACGTGTGTGTTTATGGAGTGTACAGGCGAGTTATGAATGAGACTATGAACGTGTTTCGGTGATGCAGGCGATGCTGTTTTTTTCGAGTATGTGGCTAAAACAACAAATAAACAATTTGACCAATCAAAAGAACCCAATCCACACACCAATTAAAGTTGCAATCAATTGGAAATGGCACAACCGAAAAGAAAACGAAATCACAATTTTTACAAAAGGTGCAACACAGTAACGGCAAACAAACTTTTTAATGGGCCAAAAAGCTATACAAAAACTTTGCCAAACTCAATACAATACAAGAAAAAAATCATATAAAAAAAATATATAGTAAGAGAATGCCCAAACAAAAGCTGTAACAACTGCAGGCAAACAACGAGAGAACAAGAAATATAAATTGGCATATATACAATATATGCGGCAAGTAATTTAAAAGACTGGGACGTGAAGTCCCAAAAATTAAAAGGAGAAAAACAAAGATGGAGCAAGACTTTGGAATATTGAATAAGGGGCACCTGGAAACACGCTCAGCGGCTGAAGCACTTGGGTGGAACGCAGTGGCGGTGGTAGCGGTGGCAGCTGTCCAAACGGATCTTGCTCGTTCGAGATGGAAGACGTTGGCGGTGAGATCATCGATATGTCACCAATGGTCGCCATGTCATTATTCTGGCCAGCTATAATCCATAAAAAATAGAAAACTCATTTTAATATTTAAATTGGTAATAATGTTGAAAGTTCCATAAATACAAATCTTAAAATCAGATTGAATGTGGACTCTTTTTTTGGTTTACGATTAATTCGCGTTTCCCAACGCCTGCACCTGACTGGGCTGCATTTAATACCAGTTTGGGCTTGCGGGTCGGTCCCGGACTGGATGTGGAGCATGCAAAGGCTTTTAATTTTGTCCCGCACGTGGCAGGTTGGCCACAAACAACGGAAAAGCAAAAGGGTAAGGAAATGTGCGAATGGCAATGGCACAAGGCGAAGGCAAAGGAAGCGACAGAGAAAAGCCAGGTAACGTAAAGTAAAAGGTGTGCGGCGCCATATTTCGCACATAAATTGTATGCCAGCTCCGGATCCGGGTCCGGTTGAAAGTCTTGGCCAGGGGGAGGGCAGCACAGGAGGCAGTGGCTCAGGTGGGGCGGCGGTATATCCAAAGGCAGCTGCACGAGATGGCGTCGCATGCATGGATGCATACGCAAAGCATTTACGCCAACGCCTCGGCAGTCACGGACCAGAGAAATGGAGATGAGAATGGCAAAAGGAATCGAGAGGCGGAGCAATGGAGGTGGCGAAGAATAAGGTCTCGGAATCCCATATAGTCACATACGAGCAGGAGGTCCGGACTCCGGAGCATCCGTTCAAAGGCTTTGGCCAGACCGCGTGCCTTTGCATAAAATAGATTTTCATTTTGATTCGGGAAGCTTCTCAGGAATGCAAAGATTTCCCTGCTACCTTTCAAAAAAATAATGTTTTTGGTTTTAATTTCAATTCAGGATCAGAGCTTATTAAATTTGATGTCCTGACAACCATTTTTCCCGCAATATACATTGGTTCTGTGGAAGTGAATATAGAGTGCAAGCATTCACAAAGATCAACCTGCTGGCATGGCAGGACTTCCCAGAAAATGGATCAATCAAGGCTCAATAGCCGGGCATTTACCATGGGAAGCCCCACACGGTATTACCCTTTTCTACAGTCCTTGATTTTTTTCCACATATTTTTTTTTCTTTTTGCTTTTGCCCAACCCATATGTAAACCTTTGCAGGACTTAAAAAATGCCTCGTTGGCTGCGATAAATGTGCCCATGGCTTCTCGTTGTTGTGGTTTTGCCTTAGGCCCAGTCCCAGTCCCAGTCCCTCTCCATCCTCCCACCCACTTGAACCTCGACCCACACACACACTATACCCGATATATAGTGGGGCCGCACAACAACAGCAACACGTGCTGCTTTTTCTACGGTTCGGTATTTTGAATTTTTATTATTTGCAATTTGCGTTAATGTTGTGGAAAAAAGCATGTGGCTGTTATGGCTTTGGCTTTAGCCCATGTCCTCTTGCTCCTGCTGCTTCTGCTGCTCCTGTCCTACCTCCTGGCTTCCCTTTCTTGGCATATTGAATGGCCATTTGTGTCACACACACAAATACACATGCGAGTGGGGAGAAAAGAGAGTGGTAGAGGCAAACGCACAGAGGCACACTAATGACCTTTTCATGGCCGCCCCAGCCCTAGCCCCAGTCCCAGTCCCAGCTCCAACCCCAGCCAGCGGATGAATGCAAGAAATGTGGGCAAATTATGGGCCTGACAGAGACGATCCTTCCAGCACCCAGCCGTCGTCCTCGTCCTGGGCTTTATCCCTTCGTCGTTATTGACAAAATGATTTGTAAACATTTTGCGCATCATTAGTTGGCGCTGCTCGGAAGATATGGCCTGCATTCTCCCCTGGCATTTAACCGATTAAAATCGTGTATGCATCAAGCGAATTCCCCATTCACCGAATGGGGAGAACTTTACACTAAAAAACCGGACAGTTTATAGCCTTTTCTAACTTTTTATTTCTCTGTTTATTGAATTAAATGAGTTTCGCCAAAGGATAAGCTGACTGATAATAAATTAAATTTCCCTGAGATATCTGAGAGATATATAGCTACTATCAAAAACTTCATCTAAGGTCAAAGCTATTAGCAGATAAATGTATATTTTACTGTAAATCAATAACTATCTAATAATCGCTCGCTGTGGGATAACATACCGGAAACCCCTACCCCTATGAAGTGGGGTTTTCAAACTGATTGGATAATGAACCAGAATAAATCAAGCTGTCAAATGGTAATGGTTTTTTTCTGTGCATCTCTTTTTACTCCTTGTACCTGCGTAATGTTAAACTCTTTGCTGACACCGCAAAATAAAAATAAACTGCTTCCGGCTTCAATTGCATCAATAGGAATGGGCCACGATGAGGAGTTTGCCTTGGAAGAGGCCGTTGGGAAGGAAAAAAAATGGTCAGGAGGGGATTGGTAGCGGAGCAAGTGGCATGGGGCAGGAGGCAAGAGGCATGGCAAGGAGGCTTGGCAAATATTTGCTTAAATTTGTGCTGAGGTTAAGCTTTTTGTTTGCCTTGCCTTTGCGGAGACTTGCCTCGGCAGAGCAAAGTTGATGACATCGAATGGCCTCCGTCGCAGTCTGGGGCAGTTGCATCCGCTTCAGTTCGCTTGTCCTCTGTCCTCCGTGTCCTTTCTCTCCTGACATAGAAAAATAGTTGTGGAGACTAAGGCCGAGAAAGGCGGAGGCTGGGCGGGAGCTGCGTTTTGACTGCATGCCAAGGCTGATACTCCACTGACGATGCTGATGACGCAAGCAGTCAACCATATGAATGTGTATGTGTCCGAGCATTGCACTATAGGAAATTTGACCACTTTTTCTGGCCAAAAACCATTTTTTGAAAGTTAAAGGATTTAAATAATTTTAACTGCATATCATTCACAATAGATTAATTTTTAATGTTGCATACCAGAAATTTTCATAGATGGCGCCACTGCGAAGAAAACAGCTGTTAAAAACAGCTGTTGATGTTAACATTTACATGAGCTTAGAATTTACGATTTTTTTGGGGGGTTTTAAAAACACGAATACTTAAAATTTTATGGACAAAATCAATAGTTTTGAAATGAATACTTTTTTAAGTGGTTTGTATTGTGTGTTTGTGTATGTGAAGTGTCCAAAAAACTTGTGTTGTCCTTTTAATAAAGTGAAAATGTAAGCAGTCTAGCATAAGACATTTTTAGAAATAAATCACATTTTTAAAAAGAGATTTAAACCAAGTCTGGCGGAGTCGGACAATGTAATTTAGTCCATGTTGTAGATTGTTTAATTTTCTTCAAATGAGTGAAATATGAATATGCATAAAAATGCACTTTCGAAGAAATTCATAATTTAAGGAGGCAACCTCAACACCTTGAATGTGAATCTGTTAGCTGTGAGACTAGTGCAAAACCGAACAGTTAGAATGTTATTTTTAAATAGGGGGCGGTGCCACGCCCACAATTTTTTCATTTCTGAGTTCTTTTGACCATATAAACTCAAATCAAAAATCAAAATTTAAATATCTTGCTTAGTTTTTGAGTTAGAATGTGTTTCTTAAAAAGTGGGCGGTGCCACGCCCACGTTTTTTTAAAATATTGAATCTATTGACCATGTGAACTCAAATCAAAAATCAGAACTTAAATATCTTGTTTCGTTCTTGAGATATTATTTTTGGCCAGAAAAAGTGGTCATATTTCCTATAGTGCATTGAGCAGTCATTCATGTGTATGAGTGCAAGGCTCTGCTCGCAAGCACACCCAGAAAAATGCCACAAATTTTCGACACACACACACACTCTCACACATATATCCTGATAGTCCCAACTTTATGTCCAATCAAGATTGGAACAGATAGAGTAAGAAACCAGAAACTTATTAGCCAGCATGATGCGAGTGGCCTCAAAGAAACCCCAAATGGAATTTGGCCAATCAAAATCGCCATAAATAAATTTCACAAATTTAATTCGCAGCCATTCAACATTTTTGAATACCTTTGAACTTTCGCAAGCCAATTCGCATTCTTCGTTCTTAATAAATTTTTCTCTTTGTGCAGAGAAACTTTGACAAAAAGTTGCCTGCAGTCGGCAGGGCGGACTGGCCCGTTTCTGGCAGTTGTGACAAGTGGCCTCTAACTGGCCGAGATGCCAGCCCCCTCGGGAGTAATCGGGAATTATGCAATCCTTGTGGCAAGGCTGTAGGCTCACCAGGATAATTGATACCCTTTGTAGGTTCGCCAGCCTTCTCTTGACGGCAAATCAAATTAGCGAACTGAATTGAAAACTTATTTATGCATGAGCGGCCGCTAATCATTTTTCGAGAAGGGAGTAATTTAAAATTCAATTAACTAGACGCACAGCCTGGAAGGGTTTCTTAGTAGTTTGATTCGCCTTTATCCATACTCCTTTCTCCTGCTGCCCTTAAATAGATACATTTACCTCCTATTGCCATTCAGATTTATGAATTCGTATTCGAATTCAAAGCAAATTGAGCCGATGATGAAAAGCCTTTTAACTCGACCACTTGGGGGGCTTTTGTCTTAAACGTTTTGTCAACTAAATGCATGATTGATTAAATGAAATAAAAGCCCAACACATACACATGAACACGCTCACGCACACTCATACCGATACTCAAACGAATACTCTGACAAATGCATCCAAACTACACGCACACCTGACGCCACAGATAGAATGCAAGATATTCGAGCCGTTCTTGTTATTGTGTGTTCATTAATAGGCTTTTGTTTTTGCTCACCACAAAAATTATTGCTGCTCAAATGCACTTGAATGCGGCATTGTTTCGCATTCCTACAGCTACAGCACCCGCCATCCTACCCTCAAGTGCATACATCTCCGACCGCAAAATCCTTAAACGCTGCATTAATGGCCATACACCCACACAGCCATACAAACACAAGAGTTGGGTAAGCTGAATGACCTCAGTGTTGCAAGGATTCCCGCCTCACTGTCTCTCGATGATATTACAAATTAAATACACTTGCACGTTTGCTTAACTCGAAATTCAACAAATATTGAGGGCCGGCTGCGGGACAGCGGCAGGATAGCTGTGGATAGCTGTGTAAGCATGTGTCTGGGCCGAGCACTTGACAATCAGCTCTCACAACAGCCGGCAGACGACAGCAGGCCAAAAGGATAGACAGACAAAAGGTTCGAACACCAAAGTACATAGAAAGAAAAATATTCTATAGAAAACCTAGTTAAATATTCAATTTCAAAAAGAAACCCCAAAGGTGTTAAGATAAGACTTTTTTTTTTTACCAAAAATGTAAATGACATTAGAGCCCTTTCTCTAAAAATTTTAGGTGATACCTACTACTATCCTTAGTTTCCTAACTAGTAAAATTTAATCTTCTTTAATTTAATAGAAAATTCTTTTTATTTACTTGCAACCCAAAGTAAATATTGTATTTTTTTCCCAGCGCAATGAGCTGGCTGGCTGGCGACTTGTCCTGGATCTTGGCTCTGGCAATACCGCCATTGTCATGCTTGTTGCTCCGTCCCGCACAACTCTTCGTCCTGGCCATCTTCGGGGAATATTGACAGTGCGGGATGTTGATAATACAAAGCAAACTCTCCATTTTCGGCTTCCATCTGTCCAAACGTAGCGGGAGCCTTAGCTTTCGCTTTGGCTTATGTCCTGTTTTCGTTATTCTAGCCAGAGTTTGCACGTATTATTGAATGTGTTTATTTGTCAACATCCCCGGGTCCCGGGATGCTGAAGCCCGTTCCAGTTTATCACCACTTTGGTGTATACACTTTAAAGGCCATAACTGTTGCAGCATATGCGGCGTATGATTAATTTCTGCCGCCTGCAATCCATCAATGCAGAAGAGTTTGGGACCGTAGCGCCTCATGCGGCAGTTTAAGCATAACGATCTGACATTTTTCACATTATTAAAATCACTTGGCGAACGAAGAGTGACGAGCGCGGAAAAGTTAAATGGCGAAAATATCACGTATTCGCCGCGTATACACACGCTATAAGTGCAAACCATTTCCTTATAATTTTACTGCAGTATCGGGACATGATGTATGACGGGGCTGATTCGTTTCAGTTGTGAAACTAAATAATAAAGCATAACTTACCCGTACACATAGGAAAGCCATTTCGTTGCCAGGCCCGGGCAAAATCTGAGAATTATCCCTCGTTCCAACTGGAGTCGACTAAAGAACTTTCGGATTCAGATTTGTCCGCAGTCAAATCCAATTTTCATCCAACGTATCGCCTTCTCTGCACTTTTCTTCTTTGCCACCACAACTCCAGGTATGCACTCCGTATGCCGTATGCCTTCTTGGCTCTCGTCCTTTCTCCTTGTGGCAGCTGGCAAATGATAAAAACTGGCGACGCACTGCTAAAAAATATGCATTTTTAATGCCATAAATTAGTTTTGCCGTTTGCAGTACACCGGGGATCTGCAAAAAAAAAAAAAAGAACAAGAAAGGAATGAGTCAGAAAAGCTCAACTCGGCTGGAAGTCTGCACTTTTGCTTCTAAAAGGGGCTTCAACTCTATATTTTCAGCTCTAATCGTCGGATTCCATTAGTGAACAAGCTTTTCCACTTAAGCATATAACTTAAGGATACAAAAATACAGAAATTTAAAAAACTTCTAAGCTAAACTTTTAGCACCTGATAGTTGGAATACTTTAAAGTGCTAAGATTGCATCAATATTTGAATAAAATATAATCCAAAACGAAACTTTGCTGGCAGTTGACTTTCAATTCCATGATGAGGTTTTTCCGGAATTAATTTCCCATGCTTATTGCTCGTTTTAAGCAGCTCGTTGGAGTCCTCGCCACCGAAATCACACAACCGCAGTGAAATTAATGCTGTCAGCACATCGGTGGGTAACTCTATCCGCATCCTCATCCCCATCCTCATACTCATCCTCAGACCATTTCCCCCAGGTGTATGGCTGCCAACTGGCAAAAGTCAAATTAAATTCTATTTTTAGGCGCCCAAATGCTGGCAAACCCTTTTCGTTGCCCTCACACCTGTGAGTCCTTCGCCCTGCCATGCCGTGGCATGCCCTTCGCTTCGCAGTTTTGTTAATTACTCCATGAATTTGATAGTTTTCCATCAGTGCGGATCACACACGAGACTGGCGGGGATGATGATTATGTCGAAAATGAATATGCAAATGGGGCAAAAGTGTGTATATTCGAGTGTGTGTGCCAGTGCGGTTGTGTATCGGTGTTTGTGGAAATGTAAAAACAAGACAAGAGCTCTCGAGTATATCAAATTTTGGGTTGCGGCCCCACAGTTATGGATACCAATTAGAATTGGGTTATCTGGCATCGAGAGGCAGTGGCAGCGATTCTGAGCTACAAACTGAACAAGGAAAATCTCTTGCAACCGAAATGAGCTGGAAAATGAGAGGGGAGGGCCCTGCATCTGGGTAGCTATTGCGAAATGGCCCGAAATGAATGCAAGTGCACTGGGAAAAGTCGACTACCATTTCTTAAGTAAATCCAATATTCCGCACAACCATTAATCTTTATTTAGTTTTTAAATGCAATTTTTTCCTGTGTGCATCCAAGCCTTGCTGCAAACTTGGCTCTGTAGCCCGGCTAATGATGCGCATGATGTGGCGGCATTGTCCTCGCCATCATCCCTGTTTCATTCCCCATTTTTGCCAGGCCCATCAGCGGCGTCAGCGTGTTTGTGGCAGCCTCAACTTAACTTCATCTGCATCTTCATCTGCACAACTGCAGTACTTGCAACAGCATCCCCCTCGGCCACCGCTCTCTATAGGAGGCACATGCAAAGCCACCATATCCCCCGGATAGACTCAGTTGACTTAGTTGGATGGCCTCCAACTGTGCGCTGCACCGCATGAAATTAATATTAATCGCAGCTATGCATTAAAGCCGCTTTTAGCTTCTAGATTTTCCTGCTGCCATTTCCTCGCCACCACCTACACCCCCCTCGGGTTTCTGGGTTTCCTTTGTTGCAATGTGTTTATTGTGAATTTTATTTATTGCTTTGCGGTCGTGGCGGTTATTAAAATTGCCACTGGCAATTTGTAATCATTAGGCATTCTTGTCGCTGTTGCTGTTTCACTTGCTATCTCTGTCTTTATCTACAGTCGCTGTCTCTGTTGGGGCTTTCTCCACCATTTCTCCCCACTTTGCTGTGCACACTTTTGGGCGCCCATTTGACAAGCGGCTGACAAAAGTCAGTGGCATTCTACCCAAACTAATACCCATGCACTTATGCAAATCTCACACAGATACTCAAACCTCAAAATAAAGGAGAAAGACAGAGATAGAGACAGAGTGGTAGAGCGGTAGAGGGAGAGATAGGAGTATGGAAAGAGGCAGGACACGCTGGCACTGCCATTTGCACATTTAACGTCCTCGTCCTCGTCATCCTTTGCCGCTCCGTTGTAGTTGTCGTGCAAAATTTAAGTGGCCACTTGACTAAATTAATATGACACTGCAGCAAGTGCAAGTGGCCAGGACTTGTCCTTTTCCCTTCAAATGTTATTTGCTCCCGTTCCTCCCAGTTAGGTCCCTCCTAGCAGTCTCCATCTGCCGGCTTTGGGCCAAAAATATGAATAATTATGGAATCCAACTGGCGTTCCTTGATTTGCACACAGAATGCCAAGAAAATTGCATTAATTAAGCCAAAGGATGACAGTCCTTGTCGATTTGAATGTCATCACGGCAAAGGTCTGGATATGGATTTAAATTTTTATATTTTCTGTTAATGTCCTCAAGGCATTATCCTGGACAATGGCAACATGACAAATCCGTAAGCTAAGCACATCCTTCTTAGAATTTGCATCCAATAATTTAACAAAGCATTTCCCCCTCTAGCTTGCCCAGGGTATTCATCACCATCACGGTCCTGTCGTCTGTCAATTGCCTTAAATGCAATTTAATTTTCCACCTGATGATGTCCTCTATGTAAGGCCTTTGCACTTACGTGTCCCCTTCTGGCACAGAAACAACAAAAACACGAAAAACAACATGGAGGGTATGGGGGCATGGAAGATGAAGACGAAAACGAGAAAATCCCAGTTGGATTGTCGCCATTGCAAACTCTTTCTAACCCCAGCTTTCCAACCAGCTAGAGAAGGATCCTTCGTTTTTCGTCCTTTCGTGCCACCCACCCAAAACAGCCCTCCCACCCCGTCCCAGCTATTCAAGTCTGCCTCCTTGCCAGCCATCTTCACCTTCTTGTCCCTGCCCATGTCCGTGTCACACTTGGCTCGCAGTTTTGTGGCCAGGCCAGGGCTATGAAAATAACCATAAGGCAATTGCCCGGGCGGGTTACGGCATCCCCCTCCTATGCGGCCCACTCTGCGGTGGCACTCATAAGCCTTGAATGGTAAATGTCAAAGTTACTCCTTAGCGTAACATTCGACACATCGGGCGTTGAGGTGTGAGTGAGTCCCCGTTTGTTAGTGTGCGTCTATGTGTGTGGGATACACTTTGAGAAACTAAAGCTCCCTAACTAAAAGGAAGGTGGGACTAGCTTTGTTTTCTTTGAAATATTAAAAAAATTCCTTTTATATACATAGATAAATGACAGATTTCAAGAAAGTTAACCCTAAGCATCTTCTTCGATCATTTAATTAAATCGATCTCGATTTCGTCCAGTGCAGATGTGGGATCTCGGCTAGGTCCTATGCCTGGCCAGGATTACATTACACTAAGTTCTGTGCAAACACAGTTGGCGCAGTTCATTAACATGTTACATGGAGTTCAGTCGGTCTGGGGACTCTACTCCGTTCCACTTTGGATGTTGTATGGTTGCTGCTGGATGTTGTATGTTGTATGCTATGTGCTGTATGCTGGATGCTGGATACGAGGAGGCTCTTTTGGTCTGTTTGTCTGTGCAAATGTATGCGTAAGCACAATATGCCCGCCTATCTGGCTTTCTCAGTATTCGAGGGTGTGTGGATAGGTGAATAGGAAGGGGTGTGCGTGTGTATAAGAAGAGAGTGTGTGGGAGAGCTAGGCTGTGCTTGGGTGTGCTATACTGTATTCTGCATGCTTTATGCTTTCTTTTTCTCGATGCGGAAGTGTTGCCCCAGCTGCCTCCTCTCCACTTGAAAACGGAGCAGCTCAAAGCGCTCCAAATATGTATGGAAACCCTTCTAGAGTGTGTGCTTTCGTCTAAGCTGTGCATTTAAATGTAAAGCATAAATAATTAACAGACCTCAGAGCTTGGCTTACGAATGCATCTGGCAACTGTGAGCCTCTTCCCCTAATTAGTCGGGTTTTTTCCAGTCAGCCAAAAGAGGGGGGAGTGCGAGGGGGATCTGATCATCATCAGGCCTATTCTCCAGTTAATTTGCTGTTTTAATGCGTTTTCCACTTGTGGCCAGTTAGGCGGCCCGGATTTTAGGAGGCGGTGTGCAAACTTTTAACCGAAATAAGCCAGCGAAGCCAAATTTCATTTAGGAGCCACCGCCCCCGGAACCCTTGTACACTAGCCCCCTATCCCAGAGGCACTTGCAACCAGCAGCCGTTGCATACTTTGCGGCGCAAACAAAACCGAGCTCTGGAGTAGCCGGTCCAGAGCTTAAAACTCGCAGCAATTCGTTTTAATGAATCCATCTACATCCCCACAGTGGAGACCCCACGTCCGCATCCGCATCCACATCCACAGACATTCTGGCCACAGAATGCGCTGGGAAATGGAAGGAAAAGTAGGAAAATGGGAAAAAGGGAGCGAATGGTTGCATCTCTGGCCGGAGAGGAACTGATTGTATCAACTTCCTAAGTGGATTTTGCAGTCCAACTGGCATTAAGCTCTTGGCCGCAGGTAATTTCGTATGAATGAAAAGCAAAAGTCTGCCCAAGCTCCCATTTCCCACTCGTCCCAGTACCACCCACCATCACCCACACCTACACAACTATTCCCCCTTGAGCCCTGTTTTCGTATTCGTTTTCTGCACTGTTTTCTTGCAATGCTGCAGTTTGTTTTGTTACCGAGCGACAATGACAGGAGTCTGGGAAAAGTCCGGAACCCAGTGCAATTTTTCGCATTTGCATACAGTACAACCAAGATCCTAGACAAAAATGTATTTAATATTTAAACCTCACTAGGTACTATGAATATTAAAAACTATTCAAAAAATTACTATTATCCTCGAAGAGGATTTAGTTTCCTGAAAGCAACCCTTAATCCATTTCCATTATCGAGTACTCCCTGTAGTTCCTTATGCATATGAGCACGTTCACTTTTCCCGTGGGCTTTGAAGACCCAACTACTTCCCCGAGCTTCCCGAGCGTCAAATCTCTGACATTTCATGCCTTTTTGAGGTTTTCTGGTCGCGAGCTTCGTTGTCGTTGTCCTTTCTGTCGTCCTTCCCAGTCGTCCTGCCCCCTGGTCTCTGGCAGCTACCCTTTCTGGTTTTGTAGTGACATTGTCTTTCAATAAACATTCATTCCAATGGCCAGGGAGTGCCAACGAGTAGGGGAATTAAGAGGGCCGGGAGTCGAGCAAAGGATGGAATCCTCTGGCACAATCCTCCTTGGTTCCGTTATGATTTTTGTTTGGCTGCCGAAACTTTGTTCGCCCTTTTGATCCCACAGCCCCCTGGTCCTTCCATCCTTTCCTTTTCAACCTCCTCTCAACCATTCTTCTATATGCGACTTTTCCTGCTGTGGCTTTTCGCACTCATGAATTTTTAAGCGGCATCTCTGCAGTTGCCAGAAAACAGCAACTAACACCAAGTCCTCACTTTCCTGCTGGCTGCTGCCTGCTTCCCTGCCCAGCTCTCCTCGCTTAGCTACGAAAAGTTAAAATAGTTTCAATGCAATTTTGATGATTCGATGTTTGCGAAAACTTCTGCCGTTTTTGCTTCTCCTCACCTGGGCAGGTGTACCAAAAAGTGCAAATTGTTTTCCACTAAAGGAAAAAGGGTACTTCTTTAGAATATTAATTTTAAGGAAAAACTATAATTGCAGAGTCATGAAGAAAATTATACAAAATACAATTTCATAAACCTTTTTAAAGCAAAAAAAAATATACCTTAAGAATATCCATAGTCTTGAATTTTATTTCTTGTGTCAGCAATGGCATCATCCTATTTATTACGGGGACCTCCTTGACAAGTCTGAGTGCGTTCTCAAAAATTGAAAACGACATGGTCCCAGTTCCCCAAGCCAATCTAAGCACATTTTTAATGGAAACTCAATGCACCTCATGAAATTCTAGCCGCCCCATTCGAAGATGCCCTGTCGGTTTCCGTCCCCAATACCTGTGTATTAATTTTCGAATATTTCACATTTGATCATTCCCTTGATTACACATAAAAGTTTAAACATGGCCGGAATGCACTCCTACTGCTATGAGTCTGGCAAGTGTTGGTCATAAAACTCCCAAACAAAGATCATTTAATAAAGTTGAGTGAAAAACGGGCGGGAGTATGGCTGTTTTTTGGCCTCGTGATATATTCACCTATAAATTTGATGGCGTTTGTTTAGTCGCGTGGAAGTGCGCCATAAAACTCATAAACATTGAAAATGTGAAAAAGCATTAAAAACAATACAGATTGGTTAAAGTACACTCTATAATTACGACTTTTAATCGATAGATGAATAGTCATTTTTGAATTTTTTTTTAAGCTACTTGAGTCGACATAATCTTGATTGTTATATTTTTAAATCTGGCTGTACGCCATTCAAACACTATCTGGTTAATTAGGTGATAATTTTGAAAAGGCAGATAGTGGTCTATAATGGGCTTATATTAATACTCTCTTTTTCTTTTGATTATTGGGGAAATAATAATTAAAAATTCTTAAAAAGAAAGAGCAATCCCTTGGGCAATTGGTTTAAAACCCAGCTGATAAGACCTCAACAATAAACTCTGGTTTATTTATAGAACCACACTTTATATAATTTTATTGTACCGGCTTTTAGTAAATAAAGAAAACTATTTCATTATTTTCGTAATTATTAAATCTTTTCTCTTAAATATAAAATAAATAATTCCTATCATGAAAATTGATATTTTTCAATCTGAATAACCAACAGCCGTTAAGCTTTAACGAATATTGTTTATGCAAAAAATGCAATTTATTCAGATATTTTATTTAATCGCGGTGTCTGTTACCGGGTATTTACTGTAATCACATTCAAATATATGTAAAAAAGTGATGGGGGAAAAAGAGTAACGACTGGCAGCGGTGAAGTTTATGCTGTTGTTGTGTTTACTCAATTCAATTCATCTTTTTTGCCATGCCGGCCTGTCGAAGCATTTTAATTGAGTTGAGTTGCTGGTATTGTTGATGTTGTTGTTTTTGGGCTCACTGCATCGTGATTTTCGTTTATAAATTGAATGGAAATGCAATTGTTTTTAAACGCGCGAACTTGTTGCAATTTTCGTTTATTGCTTTATCTTGTCGCGATTTCTGTCTTCTCGCGGCCGTCCAACATCCATCGGCCCTCCTTTTCCCCCACCTCATGCTCTTTCTTTCTTTCTTTCTGTAACCTGTCGCTCCCTGTCAGTGAGAGTGAGTGAGAGGGATAGATAATTGTGGCTTTCACATTCGAGAAGACTGCTTACCTCTCATTTAATTTATTTAATGCCGTCTCATATTAATTTATTTCTGTTTAAAACGCACCCGAGCGATAACCCCGGGGCTGGGAGTAATTTATTGATTCAAGTGATTAGCCAAAAAACAGAGTGAGGCAAGTTTATGGGGCAAGTGCACTTGAGATTCCGCGATTAGGACTACGCGACTGATAACAAAGATTGTAGGAACTAACAACGAAACACCGAACGGCACTAAAAATAACACACCGACAATACCTAATTAACAATGTTTACACCTGGACGTAAAATAGAAACAGAGAACGTCACGACAAGTGCTTGGCTGAAGCCGGAGTGACTGAAGCCGTCCGAGTTTGCGATAAAACTGAGAGAAGAATTCCAGTGGAGCGATGAAACCCCCAAACGAAGCCTCCCAAGCGGCTAACGCGAGAATTGGAGTGCGAGCGAGAGAGCTAGATGGGGAGAGATTACCCATTAAACTGGAAACCTGCCTGACCAGAATTCTGGAGATTTCCTTACCAGCTGAGCGAGAGGGAAGTGTGAAAAAAAGAGAGGCTATTGTTTTCAGAAGAAAGAGAAATGTAAAATTTTTAGATCCAAAAAAAATTATAATATAAATAATTTAAAAAAAGTTATTATATATTTTAACTATATAACATTTTTTATTAAAGTTTAATTTTATAAAAATGCATACATTAATTAATGTCATTTAAATGCCACTTTTTTTCATGAACTTGAAGGAAAAACCATGTATACATACAGAAAGGTGCTCCCCTTAATTCCTCAGATTACGCATACGCCCTGTTGTTAATTACGTATACGAGCTGAGAACAAAACGAACTTGAATTCGCTGTGGGCAAGGCAAACAAACGGAAAGTGAAAGCAAGGCTTATACTTGAATTTCCACACCACACCACACCCTACCACAGTACACCTTCCACCCCCTTCGATTCGAACATTTATTATGTATCGAGACAAGCTACTTAGTGTAATCGCATTTGTATCTGCAATTACACGAATGTTGGCCTTTTGATTGTGATTCCGATTGGGATTCCGATTCCAATTCCCATTTCGATTTCGGTTTCGATTGCGGTCTGTTATCAGTTGTTTAAGTGCCACCGGGAGTGGCAATGGAAGTGGAAGTGGGAGTGCGACTGCGAGTGGGCCACTGAGGGGTGCAATAAGTACCTGACGACGGGTGTTGCGGCAATTAGTGTACAGGGGTGTCAGCCCTCTCGAGTGCCGATTAAATCGGGAAGGGCAGGGTTGGAGCGGAAGGGTTTGGGGAATTGACAGAAGCGTGCCGCGGGAGTGATTGTAATTATTGGTGGATTGATAACGGAAGCCACTCCATCTGAAGGGGGGAAATCAGTAGCACGCCTGAACTAACTTTCGGCTTATCAGTCACGTAATGAAAACGAACATTGAAAACTTTCATAACCAGAGTTGCCTTTTAATTAAAACCAAAACATAACATTTTATGTGTCTAATGCTGCAGGATATATGGCTCCCATACTTAAGATATTGAAATGGTTACAGGCCCAAGATGCTAGCATTGAATCACTTTTTCTGCTCATTAATCTCAATTCGAAAGCTTCAAACGTTTCTTGAGGAATCCTGCGATGTTCACATTCTGTTCGAGTGTGAGAGCGAGAGTGTGCGAGTGTGCGTGTGTGCTTTTGCAATTATTTATGCTGTTCATTTGTTCAACGGTCACGACAGCTGAACAAAGCAGAGCGACTCAGTGGGAGGGTGTGGGGGGAGGAGGATGGCTGAGGCGTATGAGCAATAAAAGGCGACCATGTCCTCGTCTTCTTCTGACGTTGGACGTGGCCGAGGGAACATATCATTTACATGCCAAGTTAGATACACCAAGAGAAATATATTTTTGAAAAAGAATATAAATTCTTTTTTATTAAATTTTGTATAAATAATATCCTTTGTTTTAGTTAGGCCAGAACATAGTTATAAAATAACATTTATTTATGTTTAAAAGTTCTAATTCCCAGTGTAGCAGTCTGAATCCTCCCACACACCATTGCTCTGCACCCCTCCCTCCAAGGATGGGATGTAAAGTTTAACACATAAACTCAAGACAATTTGTGCGCGTATGTGTAAGGAATAAAGGCAAAAGGCAAATAATTTACAAGTTCCTGCAGCCGGCGGGGTGGCCGGGGATAGAGGATAGCCAGCGTGAACATGTGCAAAGGCAAATACAAATACAGCAAAAGTTGCTGCTGCTCTCGTAGGCTGCAACAACAATCCAGAGACTCACACACACACACACACACACACAGTAAAGCGGCCATAAACAGCGCACGCACACACTGCCAACTGAAAATGTGTTACAGCAAAAGTGTAAAAATAAATAATTTAAAGTGTGTGTAAAGGACACGGCTGCGAAAAACATTGGGCGGCCATCGCCGTAAAGCGCCCTCGCTGGCGAGGAGCATGGAATTGGAATCCAAGTTGGCGGAATGGCGGCTCGCACACGCACACACTCTCACGTGTGGGACACTCACACATACACACATGAAGATGGCTTGCAGTTATGGCCAGTTGGCCTGTTTACACGTTAAAAAAATGTATAAGCTCTGAAATTAATTCAGAATATATGATTAAATCAAAATCCTATATAGCTGGGAAATTCCAATTTTATTAAAAATATAAAGGAAAATAAAATATTTCATTTTTTTTGCAAAAAAGGATATAGTATGTGCGTGTACTCTCTTTCCTACTCCCCCTGTTATTATTATTTTTATTTTTTACCCCGCTTTCCTGCGTTCCGTAAACTTTTGCGCTCAATACCGCAAGAGCAATAACAACAACAAATAACTACAGCAAGGATGGCAAGGAGAATGCTCCAAGGAAGGGGCAGTGGCAGGAGCAGCAGCTGCAGGTTGGCCTTTGAAAGTGTTGCCCGCAATACAACAACAATACAAACACCAACAACAATACGGGGGGAGCAGCATAAACCAGTGGAGAGCGAGGGTAGAGCGAGAAAACTTATTATTATGTTGTCAGTAAAGAAAGCCAACAACAATGGTATCCTTGCGAGGCAGCTGCGGCAAGAAGGACGAGCGGTAGTGGGCAACAAAAAATTAAAAGAGCAGAGACTGGGGTGGGGGAGGAAGGTAGGACAAACAACAAAGAGGCCAACGCGTGATAAAGTAAAGAAAGCAAAGTAAAGTCAGGTGAAGAAAACAGAGGCGCAGGATCTTCAAGGGATATTTTCTTATGCGGAAAGGAGAGATCGAAGGAATAAATGGCGAAAAAGCTATTATAAACACCTCCATCCTTTAAGGTAAAAGTGCGGGATTTTATCCAATTTTATTTGAATATTAAACAAATCTTAAAGACTTGAAATCTCAATCAACGAGTCCTTTGATTAGCTTACCGCAATCTGTCAGCATTTTCCTTCCTCCTGCACTCTAGTTTCTTTTGTTTGTTCTCCTTTGAGTCCTGGCATATGCTAATATCGGTTTCAATAAAACTATTTGCTCAACTACCTTCGAACACCTTTTTGTCGGCCACTCGTCGAACCAACGACCCTCTTGAAAATTTTCTTTTTTTTCCGGCAATCCCCGCCACTGAGTGGTTGGTCACTCCGCCTCGCCTCGCCTGCCTCGATGGCCAACCCACCCACTGAAAGGACCTTCGGCGCAGTCATAATTCATTCGAAAAAATAGCGAGCCAATATTTGTGCGTTGGCTTCTTTATTTCTTTGATTTTTTTCATCTTATTTGCTTTCCTCTCCTCTGCTACTCTGGTTCTTTGGTTCTCTACTCCTCGGCTTTTTATTCCGCATGGAAACACAAAAAAGGTGAGGAAAATGCAGAGCATTTTTCATCATTTACCATTCGGGCTGTCCCCACAGATCCCCCCAGTTTCCCCCAGCTTATCAATATGGCCACATTAAAGTCGCCCAAATATGCGCCAAGTTCTGGGAATAATATTAAATACCTATAAAAGGGAGCTGGCATATGATATTTATTACAATGTATAGTTTTTGCTGATGAGGCTTTCGCAAAATATTTAATATATATTTAATTGCGTTGACGACAAAGGCAGGAGGCGTGCGAAAAATGCTGCGAATTATCCTTGCCGCTGGCGGGCGGCCAAAAAGGAATGCAAATAATAACAATAAGTTACTTAATTAAATAGTTCACGTGCCGCAGGAGACAGACGGTCCGTACTGCCCACGCTCCGTTCTTATTCGCTTCGTATAATTATTATTGAATTGTCTGTGGAAAATTTCAATTATGAAAACCAAATAGTTCAATTATGACGGGAAGCGAGCTGCTTTTTATATTGTTAAATGGCTTTCTTTCCGCTGGCGGTCTTTTCAGTTCGCGGACGACTTAATTATAAAGGGATTTGCCGCGGCGGCGACGTTAAGCGCTCCAACAAAAATACAATTAAATTAATTTGACATTTTCATTCAATGGCAGACGTAACAATAAAAACAGCAGAAGCACCAACACCATCATCACTACCTCCATCGGGCATACCCAATAGCAACATCAACAAAAAACAGCAACAACAACAACAACGAGAGCAATATCAAAACTAATCAAATCAAATTTCAATTATTGTTTGCCCTGGCATCTGGCCAGTGGGCGTGACCCGTACGAACGAGGGGCGTTATTTGCAAATGCAAATGCAAATGCACTGCACCTCGTATGACCCCACCATGCCGACGATCTTCCATTTGGGCCCCCATTGCCATTTCGCTTGATTACATGCATTTTAGATTCGCCCGCCCGAAAGTAGGCTACACCTTTCAATCACAATCAAATTTTATGCCCTCACATGAGCTGCTCTGTGGCATGGAGATTGGAGATTGGAGAGTGGCGAGTGAGCGAGAGCTCTCCACGGAAACGAGTGCAAAACCGTACAGAGCCCACTCGGTTTCCGCTGCCAAAAATACACCAAGCACAACAACTATTAGCCAAAAATAGTGAGTTGGAAGCCAGGCTTAGTGGAATCCAATCGCAGTCTGTTGATGGCCATTGAAATGCGAAACTTTCATATCTGAACTTTAAGGATTTACCTTCTATAGTTCTGTAAGCTTAGATTTTTGATTGGCTAAGGCAATTTTCGGTATTTTCTTCCCTTTTCGAAATTAACTTACTACACTTTGATGATAACAATTTAAAACTCAAGTCGCTACCAAGTCACATGCTCTTGTAATGCCATTTCTTTCCACTCATTTTCCACACATTTCAAGTAATTCAATATTCTCTTGCCACCGGTCGTACCAGCCCCCCTCCACATCTTAACGTTGTTATAAGGTAAAGACCAATAAAGGCAATAACAACAGCAAAGCCAACGACCAAATTGACAGTTTGCTAGCCAAGGCAGTGCC